AATGCATTCCATGTGTCTTATGCGCTCCGTGCCTCTAATGCACTCCTGGTGTCCAATGTACTCCTTGTATGTAATGCACTCCTGATATCTAATGCATTCCTGGTCTCAAATGCACCCAAGGTGTCATATGCACTCCGTGAATCAAATGCATTCCTGATGACTATTGCGACTCCAGGTGTCTAATGCACTCCTGGTGTCTAATGCACTCCATGCCTCAAATGCACTCCTGGAGTCGAATGCATTCCTGGTCTCGAATGCACCCGGTGCCTCTAATGCGCTCCTGGTGTCTAATGAACTCAATTTCTCTGATGCATTCCTGGTGTCGAATGCATTACAGGTGTCTAACGCACTCCTGGTGCCTAATGCACTTCTGATGTCTAATGCATTCATGGTATCTAATGCACGCCATGCCTCTAATGCATTCCATGTGTCTTATGCGCTCCGTGCCTCTAATGCACTCCTGGTGTCCAATGTACTCCTTGTATGTACTGCACTCCTGATATCTAATGCATTCCTGGTCTCAAATGCACCAAAGGTGTCATATGCACTCCGTGAATCAAATGCATTCCTGATGACTATTGCCACTCCAGGTGTCTAATGCACTCCTGGTGTCTAATGCTCTCCATGCCTCAAATGCACTCCTGGAGTCGAATGCATTCCTGGTCTCGAATGCACCCGGTGCCTCCAATGCGCTCCTGGTGTCTAATGAACTCAATTTCTCTGATGCATTCCTGGTGTCTCATGCATTCCAGGTGTCTAACGCACTCCTGGTGCCTAATGCACTTCTGATGTCTAATGCATTCATGGTATCTAATGCACGCCATGCCTCTAATGCATTCCATGTGTCTTATGCACTCCGTGCCTCTAATGCACTCCTGGTGTCCAATGTACTCCTTGTATGTAATGCACTCCTGATATCTAATGCATTCCTGGTCTCAAATGCACCAAAGGTGTCATATGCACTCCGTGAATCAAATGCATTCCTGATGACTATTGCCACTCCAGGTGTCTAATGCACTCCTGGTGTCTAATGCACTCCATGCCTCAAATGCACTCCTGGAGTCGAATGCATTCCTGATCTCGAATGCACCCGGTGCCTCTAATGCGCTCCTGGTGTCTAATGAACTCAATTTCTCTGATGCATTCCTGGTGTCGAATGCATTACAGGTGTCTAACGCACTCCTGGTGCCTAATGCACTTCTGATGTCTAATGCATTCATGGTATCTAATGCACACCATGCCTCTAATGCATTCCATGTGTCTAATGCGCTCCATGCCTCTAATGCACTCCTGGTGTCCAATGTACTCCTGGTAAGTAATGCACTCCTGATATCTAATGCATTCATGGTCTCAAATGCACCCAAGGTGTCATATGCACTCCGTGAATCAAATGCATTCCTGATGACTAATGCACTCCTGGTCTCAAATGCACTCAGGGTGTCCAATGCACTCCGTAAACCTAATGCATTCCTGATGTCTAATGTACTCCAGGTGTCTAATTCGTTCATAGAGTCTAATGCACTCCAGGTGGCTAATGCACTCCGTGCCTCTAATGCACTCCAGATCTCTAATGCATTCCTGGGCCCACTTGCAAAAAGCGATCTTAGCGCTAAGATGATCGTAACTCCCATACTTCAGCATAGGCTTACAACAGTCTTAGCGCTAAGATTGCTTTGTGCAAGTGGGCCCTGGTGTCTAATGCACTTCTGGTGTCTAATGTATTTCTGGTGTCTAATGCACTCCGTGCCTCTAATGCATTCCTGGTGTCTAATGCTTTCCAGGTGTCTAATGCACTCCTGGTGTCTAATGCATTCATAGTGTCTAATGCACTCCTGGTGTCTAATGTTATTCTGGTGTCTATTGCTTTCCAGGTGTCTAATGCACTCCTGGTGTCTAATGCACTCCTGGTGTCTAATGCATTCATGGTCTCTCATGCACTCCGTGCCTCTAATGCACTCCAGGTCTCTATTGCATTCCTAGTGTCTAGTGCACTCCTGGTGTCTATTGCATTCCTTGTGTCTAATGTATTTCTGGTGTCTCAATCCCCGGTGTCTAATCCATTCCAGGTGGCTAATGCACTCCGTGCCTCAAATGCACTCCAGGTCTCTAATGCATTCCTGGTGTCTAATGCATTCCAGGTCTCTAATGCACTCCTGGTGTCTAATGTATTTCTGGTGTCTAATGTATTTCTGGTGTCTAATGCACTCCATGCCTCCAATGTCTTCCTGGTGTCTCATGCATTCCAGGTGTCTAATGCTCTCCTGGTGTCTAATGCATTCATGGTCTCTTATGCATTCCAGGTCTCTAATGCATTCCTGGTCTCAAATGCACCCGGTGCCTCCAATGCGCTCCTGGTGTCTAATGAACTCAATTTCTCTAATGCATTCCTGGTGTCGAATGCATTACAGGTGTCTAACGCACTCCTGGTGCCTAATGCACTTCTGATGTCTAATGCATTCATGGTATCTAATGCACGCCATGCCTCTAATGCATTCCATGTGTCTAATGCGCTCCGTGCCTCGAATGCACTCCTGGTGTCCAATGTACTCCTGGTAAGTAATCCACTCCTGATATCTAATGCATTCATGGTCTCAAATGCACCCAAGGTGTCATATGCACTCCGTGAATCAAATGCATTCCTGATGACTAATGACACTCCAGGTGTCTAATTCTCTCCTGGTGTCTAAAGCACTCTGTGCCTCTTATGCCCTCCTGGTGTCTAATGCGCTCCTGGTGTCTAATGCATTCATGGTCTCTAATGCACTTCTGGTGTCTAATGTATTTCTGGTTTCTAATGCCTTCCTGGTGTCTCATGCATTCCAGGTGTCTAATGCACTCCTGGTGTCTAATGCACTCCTGGTTTCTAATGCACTCCTGGTGTCTAATGTATTTCTGGTGACTAACGTATTTCTGGTGTTTAATGCACTCCATGCCTCCAATGCCTTCCTGGTGTCTCATGCATTCCAGGTGTCTAATGCACTCCTGGTGTCTAATGCATTCATGGTCTCTTATGCATTCTAGGTCTCTAATGCATTCCTGGTCTCAAATGCATCCGGTGCCTCTTATGCCCTCCTGGTGTCTAATGCGCTCCTGGTGTCTAATGCATTCATGGTCTCTAATGCACTCCTGGTGTCTAATGCATTCATGGTCTCTAATGCACTCCTGGTGTCTAATGTATTTCTGGTTTCTAATGCACTCCTGGTGTCTGAAGCACTCCTGGTGTCTAATGCATTCATGGTCTCTAATGCGCTCCTGGTGTCTAATGCATTCATGGTCCTTAATGCACTCCTGGTGTCTGAAGCACTCCTGGTGTCTAATGCATTCATGGTCTCTAATGCACTCCTGGTGTCTAATGTATTTGTGGTTTCTAATGCACTCCTGGTGTCTAATGTATTTCTGGTGTCTAATGCACTCCATGCCTCCAATGCCTTCCTGGTGTCTCATGCAATCCAGGTGTCTAATGCACTCCTGGTGTCTAATGCATTCATGGTCTCTTATGCATTCCAGGTCTCTAATGCATTCATGGTCTCAAATGCATCCGGTGCCTCTTATGCCCTCCTGGTGTCTAATGCGCTCCTGGTGTCTAATGCATTCATGGTCTTTAATGCACTCCTGGTGTCTAATGCATTCATGGTCTCTAATGCACTCCTGGTGTCTAATGTATTTCTGGTTTCTAATGCACTCCTGGTGTCTGAAGCACTCCTGGTGTCTAATGCATTCATGGTCTCTAATGCGCTCCTGGTGTCTAATGCATTCATGGTCCTTAATGCACTCCTGGTGTCTGAAGCACTCCTGGTGTCTAATGCATTCATGGTCTCTAATGCACTCCTGGTGTCTAATGTATTTGTGATGTCTAATGCACTCCATGCCTCCAATGCCTTCCTGGTGTCTCATGCATTCCAGGTGTCTAATGCACTCCTGGTGTCTAATGCATTCATGGTCTCTTATGCATTCCAGGTGTCTAATGCACTCCTGGTGTCTAATGCATTCATGGTCTCTTATGCATTCCAGGTCTCTAATGCATTCCTGGTCTCAAATGCACCCGGTGCCTCTTATGCCCTCCTGGTGTCTAATGCGCTCCTGGTGTCTAATGTATTTCTGGTTTCTAATGCACTCCTGGTGTCTGAAGCACTCCTGGTGTCTAATGCATTCATGGTCTCTAATGCGCTCCTGGTGTCTAATGCATTCATGGTCTCTAATGCACTCCTGGTGTCTAATGTATTTCTGGTTTCTAATGCACTCCTGGTGTCTTAAGCACTCCTGGTGTCTAATGCATTCATGGTCTCCAATGCACTCCTGGTGTCTAATGCATTCCTGGTGTCTAATGCATTCCTGGTGCCTAATGCACTCCTGGTCGCACGCACACACACACACACAAACACACACACACCCTTACCACCACCACCCCTGGTCGGACCCTTATAATAGGTAACACCTACATCCATTCCCATCTGAGTCTCATATTCAATGTGTACTGTTTGTTCTACAATAGAGACCGCAGTCGGTATGTTGAACAAAGGCCTGTTCAATCGGACAATCGGAACTGTTTCTGTGTATGTTCACAATGAAGGGAACTGCCTTTCAGTAACATGTGACATGTTCTAAGCCTCGGATTTAATGGATACATTCATCACTGTAGCAGGTAACTAAAAATACTTTACCTCAAATCTTTTACACTGAACGATAGTTAATAATAGTTACAAACATAACTAGGGCAAAAAGATATATATTTATATGTACTGTATTTCAGCATTCTGTAATAATAATCAAACACATGATTGTATTTTGGACTGGAGATTTATCCTCAATACATCTGTCTGTCTTTCTGCCTATCTGTCTGTCTGTCTTTCTGTCTGACTGTCAGCCTGCCTGCCTGTCTATCTGTCTGTCGTTCTGCCTATCCGTCTGTCTATCTGTCTGCCTATCTGTCTGTCTGTCCGTCTGCCTATCTGTCTGCCTGTCTTTCTGTCTGTCTGTGTGCCTATCTGTCTGTCTGTCTGCCTATCTATCTGTCTGTCTGTCTGAAATGTACTGTACAATCCTACATTATTTAAGTGGCTTGTTCCGGACACGGACGTGGGTCCACCAAACTCTTGTCGGATTACAATATACTTTGTTGTTTAACATGCGTCTGAAATTGTATATACTTGTATATAAGAGAAGACAAAATGTCACAGGTAAAGGGGTTATACAACATACACAACGCCAATGTGTCAGTATACAGTGAACACCCGTTAATCGGGACAATAGCTACACGTACAGCTCGTTGATATTGATTCATAGAATGTCATCGTGACATAGGCCTTGACCTTAAGCTTACGTGGCTTATTGCGCAGTATGCGTGGAGAATGTCGTTCTTTACAAAACCGTATTTAGATTCTTTGTTCAGTTTGTGTGAACGAATTTCGTAAAGTGTAGTGTTGATATTCTTTCGTGGAGACATTGACGAGGTACAAAACGTAGGCGCAGTTCAGTTAACACCGATTTCAACTATATCCTTTGTTCATCTCGGGAGACACTCTCGGCTGAGAACTGACACGCATGGACATAAACAGAGCGAATTCGTCACATGGAAGACACGAGGGTGAGATTTTATTTATCATCCAACATCATTCTTTCAACTTTTTCAGTTTGTAGAAAGTAATAAGCAGTGGCTTAAAGCCCCACCCTGACTATAAATAGCCCGCAAGGTGGCGGTGTTTCAGTTTCGAACAATGACTGACAATGTAAACACAACCGAGTGTCGGGAGACGTTTTTTGAAAACCATAAGGGAACCAGATCACCATTGACCGTCAAACTTCGTGTCAACTTGAATGACAAACCATGAATACAACAAATGGCTCCATATCAAGATATAAGTCAATAGATTTTCTGTAGTTTTATCATAAAAAATCGTATCGATCGTGTTTGGCGTCTGCATCAATCACAGTGGGCGGAGCTTATTTACGGTTGCGCTATAAATAGCAAAGCACATGGTCATGTGTACATGTGACACATTCAATGCATTTGTGGTCAAGGTGAATTGTGTTGCATATTTTTACGGCAGAACAGCAGCAGAACATCAGTTTCGGTTAATGTAACAGTAACGATATTTAAATACGAAATTGACGACGCGATTCTTTGAGTTCAATCCGAAAAATACAGATATTTGTTTAGTTTTGGTCATTTGCATTCAACAATTAGATTTGTGCCACACAATAATCAGTTTATATTTATAAAACCTAAATTATTACACAGATTTTTCAACTAGTGTTTAGGAAGGGGCCTAATTTGAAGCACCAGAAGTTGCGCCAATATTTCTCAGCTTGACTACAATAGATGAATATGTCACGTGTATCAACGTTAACATAACAATGCACATAAGCAACTGGTAAATAAGTAACGAAATATACTTAATGTTTTGACCTACTGAAGGCGTATCCAGATAATATTGTACTTACGATAAACGAAAACTCCAATACACATATTCCAAGACAACTTTAATTATGAATTTCCTTTTCTTTCACAGAATTTTCACACACAAAACTGAGTTTGATCATTAGATCCACACTTGTCCCATGTATTTTTTGTTCGGGGTATTTGGATACACTTCGCGCGGTTGTTGAGGCACATTATGACAGATGCTCGTCATGGATGGAGAAAAAAATGTATCTGAGAGAAACATTGTTGCTTTGAGCTTCGCGACAAAACATGCCGAAGTAGTTTACAAGAGAGGAAGATCTGTGCAGCCAGCGACCTGAATAAGCTTGATGAAAATATTGTTGAAATATATTTTCTCGCACATGACAGAATTAATGTGAACACATATTTATTTGAACATCGTTTCGAAGTCTTTGAGGCTGTCCGTATTTTAATATTCTTATTTCCATTGCGACGTGAAATAATATAATGTTTTCGTGTCTTAATTTTGCTGCCGCTGTGGAAAATTGCGCACCGATCTATTAAAAGAAATACTACTAGCTCAACTTTATAAAAGAACCAGATCAACTTTATCTTTGTTCCGTTGTTTATTAAAAATGCGCTTCCGAAGCAAAGCGAATCGATCTACAAAATAAACAAATTAATAGACTAGATTCTAGTACCAAGTGTTTAAACTTTTTTTTTAAATGTCATAAAATAACTTACACAATTATTGAAAGACATTTTTTTATAAGTAATATATATTTTATCTCGTCCGGCCGCTCTCTGGTTAGTTTAGGCTTGAGGGGAGAAACACATACCAAAAATATGGATGGCCTTATGCAAATGACACTTGGCATGCCAATCAAGAGGGATCTGGGTCACTGGGACCCGCCAAGTTTCACGGATCGAGTTACTTCGGCATGAGGAGCTTCATCGGACAAGTACGTGTGACTTTGCCAAAACATGTTGCTACTGGGCAATGAAAAAATGTCAGGGAAACGACCAAAAAACTACTTTGATCACGTGAAAATATTTTTGACCATTATAATTAGCTGTGTCTTCAGTGTAAAAAGTACTGCTAACAGCTTCAGTAGCAGAGCCATTAGTGATGTCATTTGATTGTGACGTCATGGTAACCAATGACGTCACAATGGTCTGCAAAGCATTGTGATGCAATTTCATTGCAGCGATATCTACAGTATAGGGGTGCGTTGCAAAGCGCCAATCGCTCGTAAGCGATGTTCAGCGATTCGCCTTACAACAGTGCGCTAACTTTCAGCCGCTTGCAAGCGAAACAATCGCTGACTGAGGTCGCTTCGTTCTCAAACCAAAATGGCGGCTTACTTTGACAGCGGAACAATGAAATCTTGACTGGATCAACGAGAAAATGAGCAAAGGTAGCTAACACCCCATCATCCTCAGTCTGCTCCACATCTTCAAAGTAGTCATAAATTTCATCAGCTCGTCATTGAGCCTCATCTATTACGTTCTTTATTACGCGGATGGTCAGACTCGCTGACATGGTTGATGCATGTCATCGTATCCCAATTACGTGGATAGATGCTCATGATGTCAATCACTGGATTGTCTGGTCCATACTCGATTATTTACCAATCGCCGTCATATAGCTGGAAGATTGCTGAGTGCGGCGTTAAACATCAAACAAACGTCAAGGCAATCAAGCGGTAGTTGTGCCGCCATTTTGGAAGAGTGCGCAAGCGCTTCGAACTGTTGCAGACCCCGGATTGAGCGATGAATTTGCTTTCTCTAAGCGATTCGTGGCTTGCAACGCGCCCCTAATATCGCTTGATCTCACCCAAGCGATATCTCCTGTGGGAGCCAGTTTTGTATGTTATATATATTTATCATAAAATGGGTGGGTTTCTCGGCAGGATAAAGTCAGCGGATAAAAACGATATCCGTTGGGGTCATATGCGGATAGAGATGCAAATATCAAAGGTCAAGTAGGGACTACTTTCACTGTTTATAAACAAACATGGCGTCGCCCTCGTCATTCGGCGATCGAGTCAGAATAAACCATGGGGAATCTGGATAAACTACAGGGGTAATTGCTATCATTATCAAAAGAACAGTCTAATACACTGAAAATCAGTGTCTAACTGTGACGTAGCTAAGGCATTTTATAAGTTTTAGCAACTTTGGAGATGTAGATTTCGAAACAATTTTGCGAGGGCACGAGGCCTAGCCAAGCGGAATCAGTAGCCATATCTGTGCTTGTAGACCTCTGCGGCTTGAAACCTTCTCCACGAATTAAAATAGTTGCATTTGGCCGAAATATGTTTGAATTGTTACCTTGTTTCCTTTTTGTCGCTGTGTGTACATCTGACTACACTTCTTTACGTTATGACAGGACAGCCCGACTGTCAACAACGTCTGACCGTTGCCGTGACGTCCCATAGGCTATAGGGTTAGAGTAGCTTCCCTTTGACAAAGGGCAGTTACTCTAGCGGACAGACCGATGGATTGCCGCGAAAGGCAATTAAAAACAATTGTTGTTTTGCCAATATGTTGCTTCGCCACTGTATCAGAAACAGATTTCAGTTGGAACTATATTGGCTACTGTCACTGTCTGACTGACACATCACTTACCCTGTGACGTAATAAATATTCATGCGCGCATTCCAGGAAAACTCGCAATGTTTCGGTAATGTTTGTGAGAGTGGGAAAGCGATTTTGAAGCACAGAATTAAAGAATGACATTATATGATAAAGAGGTTATCACGCTTGTGTGTTTGGGGATGGTAAATATCCTGTATTAGGAATAAACACTATGTATTTAGCTCGCCAAGGCTCGCTAAATACAATGTTTATTCCTAATGCAGGATATTTACCATCCCCAAACACACTCGCGTGATAACCTCTATATAGATAGATAGATAGATAGATAGATAGATAGATATATAGTGGATATTTAATGTGTTTTCTCAAATACCACTTTTATCTCCCCACTTCACGAGATGAGATGAAAGTGGTATTTGAGAAAACACATTGAATTTTCTATTTATTATAACTTTTTTTATATCAGTCACGAGTGACTGATAACTTGATCTATCGTCACTGATAAATTCCAGTATTTCATTCATATATATATATATATATATATATATATATATATATATATATATATATATATATATATAAAATTAAATAAGTGGAGTAAGATTGAACACAGTTTTAATAGGCTAGCGCTTTCAACTCGTACCACGTACGCGTCTCATCAGGCCATAACTGAATAACGGACATGAAGTAGTAACATATAGTTACGTGACGTCATAACATTTAGGAAACTATATATATATATATATATATATCGATAGAAAATACAAAAGTCCAAAGATGAGCTGTATAATTTACTCAACCGGTTTCACGCATGTGATTTTCAAGATTACAGTTATACCGTTACGCTGTTTTGACGTCACAGTGCACTCTAACATAGTATGACGTCATAGTGCAATCTAACTTTGTGACATCTATCTATCTATCAACTTATATATATATATATGTGTGTGTGTGTGTGTGTGTGTGTGTGTGTGTGTAGGGAGAAGCACTCCTTGTCACATTAACATCGAGCCTCTAACCGCCTACAAAGATGTACTAGTATTTGTGTGACTCTTAAGGAAATATATTTCCCTGACTAATCCAGATCGGAAGGAACATCAGCTGACGATGGCGGATGTCCGGGTGATGAACTACATGGGCTGGGCGGAATATATAATTACCTGTGACAGGTAGGGTTACAGAATGACGTAAACCACGTACATGTACTTTATATCTCACATCAAATTATTGACGATGGCATAAATCTATATGTGGAGGGTGATGATTTTATGTATTATACTGCTTTTGAAAAACTCCAGCAATGTCACGACGGGGGCTGCAAGAAATTGCCTTTTCCCAATTTGCCCATGTGGGGAAACGTACCTGGGTTTCGGCGTGACGAGCGAACGCTTTAACCACCAGGCTACTACACCCTTACTTCACTATAAAGCGAAGTGATTGTATATATCTATATATACCACCATAATGTGTTTTCGTAATGCTAGATGAAAAGAATCTACCACATGTTTAAATGACAGTTCGTTCCGTCGCTGTTTTGTGAATAATGATTTAAGATCAGGACTTTTCTCTTGACAGCCTCCACAAGTTGCAAGAAGGGATAAAAAAAGAAGCCAACGTAACAGGTTCAGCCCAGTTGGTTCTCTGTAAAGGGGAGCAACTCCAACAGAGTAATTTCAAGTTTGTACATGGTGTGAGAATGCTGTACCTCTTCACGCTTGGCACGAACGCGGTGCAGTTGATTACCAACTCACAAACTAATGGTAAGTATAAGGCCTTAAGTACCTTAATGTGATCAGCGTCTTTTGTATCTCGTCAAGTGCGTGGTTACGGTTGGTTGCAGGCTCCACGTCAGCTGCTATTAAATTAGCTACGTACCTAATGCCATTTCCATCTAAACGATATCGCCGTATCAACTCCTCATCGTTGTATTCAACAAGGCTTTGTCTTCTTTGATGAAACGAACGACGCCCTAGCGGTACGGCAGCCATTTTGTTTACTGACTTAAGTCAAACACCTTGTAGTTAAGCCTACCCCTACCCAGTCTTAAGATTTAAGTCAGAAATTGGTAAAACTTAAGCCCAAGTCGCTTCATGAATATGACTTAAGTAAAACATTAAAACTTAAGTCATAAAAGGTAAAAAACTTAGTTTTCTTAAAGTCTTAAGTTTTTTTTCAGACTTAAGTTCTCTTATGAATACCACCACAGCCTGGGCTCAATTATTTCACGTGGTAAAAGCATTGTTTTCACGACCAGCAAGCAAATTTGATTTTTGCACTGTTGTTTCGAAATAACGTTTTCAACTCAAATTTCGTATTGCACCCGATTCCAATGTTTTGCATTAGTCGGAAATTGAAATCGGGCCTCGATTAAACGCCGGGGATACAGAGTTTCTGAAAAAAATATACGCACGGGCGTTTAATGAAGGAAATACGGTATATAGGTCCACAATACGCATGCGTGTCTTAGAAGCGAACTGAAACGGGGATCGGGTGGTCCCACTCTCACATAGTCTTCCAATCATCAGTTTTAGTTTCTCGGGGCTTTCATCCCGAGGGTTTAATATTTCAGTCATTAATGAGGAAATATGTATAGTATCAGACACATGATATTTATTTTAGAAATGACTCTCACTTTGTGTGAGTTCATTGGAGTATGACCCTTCATAGAGTGAGGGCCATACTGTATGAATGTCGGAGCTTGTTTATTGTTGCTTGTTATTGACATGTATATGTCTCTCTGTCGGGTTTATGTTACATGTTAAACACTTGGGGCAGCACACAAACAATCAAGAAGTCCCTGAAACAGTATTTCAAACAGAGTTATTATAAATTACTGATTGGTGTAAAGACAGTAAACTACGGTTATAACGAACTCGAAGGGACCACTAAGTTTAGTTTGGTATAACCGTAGTTCGTTATAAGCATATATATAGCATAACAACAGCAAATAGTCGGGACCAAAAAATCGTTATATCCGTGTTCGTTATAAACGTACTTTACCGTATATCCAATAGACTGGACCCAAGGGAATGCAAATAGACTGAATACCCAAAGAAAACTATCAATACCCAAAGTGAATGAAAACATGTGAGTAAATACTCATTGGCTACAAAGAATTATCTGGAACCCTGATAAAATCAATTATGGAACAATGCAGGCGTTAAGGGAATCGAAACATCATTCTAGGCATCATTTGTTATCTATTAGACGATGGCTTTCACCATCATCGTCTAACTACAACATTTCGGCACCTTGGCATACTTGTAAAACATCATATGTCTTTCACCTAAATGAAAATTATTGTAAAATCACATATGCGTAATGGCTGTATGTACAAGGAGAAAGTATACTGACGTGTAAGAAATTCACACGCTGGTCGTTGATAACTGTACATGGTATAATACACAACGAAGTGTTATGCCTCAAACAGAGAAAACCTCCTACCCCAATCGGCGTATAAGAACTAAATTGCGGTTCTTTTGGGAAACAGATGCAGTTCTTTCATGATCCTATTGTCATTTATAGATAAAATCTTCACCTTGAACCAAATATTCTTTTGAAAATGTCGACCTCATAACAAAACGAATTGCCTATGAATGCGTATGCAACATAACCAATAACTAGAGAGACAATCAGGGCATCTCTGAAATTTAGTGCTGTTGAAAATGTACCAATTTTACTTTTCTCACCGTTTCTGCTATCCATTTAGACATCTTGTTGTCCAAAATATATAGTGCTATATTAGTAGTGTCTCATTTCAGAGAGAACAACTCCTGGAATTGACCGTCTGGATGACGATGAATACATTCGCCGGTTCGAACGAAGTTTAAAAACTGCAAAGACGAAATTTGATCGCATCCTGGAGGGAGCATATCAATTTCAGTAAGTATCGTTTGTCTACGTAAATTGTGTGCATGTCATAATTAAGTTCGGTTCAAATTTAACCATGGCATAATGATTGCGAAAATTAAATGTTCAGGAATACCAGTGACCGAGTTTAAATAATTGTGACTATAGCTTGGCCATTATTTACGATATTGCGGAAATAAATTATTTTTCTGCTGCAAATATGCTGTACCAAATCGCGTATACATAACATGAATGTTTGTTGCACAACGATGGCCATTGAATAAATGCGTTTAATACAGAACAACAATTCAGCAGCTCCATCCTTCGGTGTCAATATTTCACAACTGTTGACACCCTGAAGATCCGGGGTAGAATAGTTCTTCAGCAACCCATGCTTGCCGTAAAAGGCGACTATGCTTGTCGTAAGAGGCGACTAACGGGATCGGGTGATATGGCTCGCTGACTTTGTTCATGCATGTCATCGTATCCCTATTATGTAGATCGATGCTCATGATGTCAATAACTGGATAGTCTGGTCCACATTCGATTATTTACAGACCGCCGTCATATAGCTGGAACATTGCTGAATGCGGCGTTAAACAAACAAACAAACAAACACAACTGTTGAGGTACATTCGAGCATGTTATTTCGACGAAGATTTCAAAGAGCGTCTAACGAACCTTGCTCAAAAGATGTTTGATCAGGGTTACAACCTTCAAAGCCTTAGAGTTACATTGTAGACATATTGGGGACATTTCATATGTTATCAAGTGAACAGTTGAACATTGTGCCACAAGTAGGGCTGTATAAGCTCACCTGGTATTATTCACTATTTTTCATAGTGATTCCTCAACGCAAGCGTAAAAGTTCTTACGACTATGCAAGTAGTTGTGTCCAGGGCCTTGTTCCTCAAAGCGATCTTAGCGCTACAATGATCGTAAGCCTATGTTAAAGTATGTGACTTACGATCACCTTAGCGCTAAGATTGCTTTGAGGAACGGGGCCCAGGTTATTCCTTTCATTGACTCGGTGCTATATTTTGTCAAAGGTATTTCACGACTGAGACACTCAGTATGTTGATCAAGCATATTGATGGGTTGGAGATTGTGTTCAAAGAAATTAGGAAAAGAGTATTCTTCTTATCTGCCTTGGAGGAAGCTAAAAGCAAGGTGATGCTGACTGACCAAAAACAAAAGGATTTGCTTCAACATATTAAAATGTTGCTGGTCAACTTGCCTCGGCGGTATCAGCAGGTGAGACGTTTATATCCAAGATGGCCGCCACAAATATTTGTGGGAAAACTGGCAATATCTTTCTTAAACAGTGATGTCTTTGTGATTTTAGACCTTGATACCAAGACTCGTCAAGCGTTTTTATTATACGTTTAAATCTCATTGTCGGGATTCTGGCCGAATGCTCGAAGGCGCTGTCATTCACCGTGCAGACTTGTGTTCCATTAGTCGTGTCAGAATGCGCTGATCGTTAGATTGCACCCAGGGCTCCTTTTCACAAAGTGATGTTAGCTCAACGGTTGTCGTAAGTCTATGTTAAAGTATGAGAGTAACGGTCGTTTTGTGGAAGGAGCACCAGGTTTCGCCCCGATTCTTATCCTTGGTCTGTCAGCTCAATCAGCACCCCTTATTATGGCTATCACCAGACTGGAAACGCCTACTACTGCTTTCCCATCAATACACCATGATATAAGTGACAAATATATTTCAATCGTCGTTAAACACAACAAACTACCTCAATCACTTTGTCATGGTACTAGTGAGTGAGTGAGTGAGTGAGTGAGTGAGTGAGTGAGTTGGGTTTAACGCCGCTTTTAACAGTATTCCAGTGATATCACGGCGTGTCAGCTTAATGTGGGAGGAAAGCCCCAAGTGATGCAGGTCTCAGATGTCATGGTACTAAGGTGTCATCCACACGTATTACTTGTTTGTCTTACTATTGGTCTTGAATTGAAAAAGATAAATCTTCATTTCAGTGCAAATATAATTTGTCTCTCCAAGACTACCTGCAGACTCAGCTTAAAGAAGACGAGAAGGACAAAGCATTCTTAAGAGAGTTACAAGAGCGGCAGTGAGTAACTTACTTGCCACTTGCTAATTTTCGACATTTAAATTAATGGTTTCCTTGTTCCAACAAAAACAAATATCACACCATGCTGCCCCTGTTATGCACATGAATTTATGAATATTAAGTTAACCTGAAACGTCCTTAAGTCCTCATTTTAATTATATATTTTATATCAATCGTGTTAATTTCTGTTAATAATTATGTGTTAATCACGCTGCGTTTTTTCTGTAATAAATCGGTCATCAGTGATGTTTAAAAAAAAAAGAAAAAAAAAAGTCGAGGCCATCAACTTGCAAGATCAGACATTGGATTTTCTTTTATAAAATATAGCAATGACTTGGTTGATGTCGATTATTTTTACACGAGCTTGTGAATGAACTAAGGGTGATATTCATGAGATCAATCAATGGCCTCTCTCGTTGCCTTGCAGGTTCGAAGCTGAAAGAAAGTTGGCACTAATCGAAGAGTTCTACGACCCTTTCCTGGACCTTTCTGCTGGCCGGCAGAGCACGGTTGTGTAAGACGAGATTCAAACTATTGGTTATAAACATACTGTATTTTCAATGTTGATCTAGGTTACCTGTAGTTTATACCGTTTAGTTTGAAAGCTAACACGCATGGCAAGTTAAGCAAAGCCAACAAGGCTTAGTTCTACATTTGACGTAACCCCCGTGAAGATTCGGGTTAGAATTGGTCTGACAATGACCATGATCCACGTTTTCTCGGTTAGAACTAAACTGCCACAGCTACTTCGAATTATTGCAGCAACTGCGATTCTTTTTTTGTATCCTGTAATTGTTCGTATCAGTTTTTCAAAAGGCCTGCCGACAATCATTGAGAAGGAAGTGTCTCTATGAATATTAGCTTGCACGGTAATTCCGCCTTACAGTTGTTAATACCATGGCTGCTTTTTGTTTTTTTCCCTCCAAAATCATGGTTCAACTCTGCATAATGTAATGAGTATGTCTGTTTGGGAACCTATGTATGCGGTGCGGTAGCCAAGTGGATAAAGCGTTCGCTCGCCGCGCCAAAGGCACGGGTTTCGATTCCACATGGGTACAATGTGTGAAGCTCATTTCTGGCGTCCCCCGCCGTGATATTGCTGGAATATTGATAAAAGCGGCGTAAAACCACACTCACTCACTATACAACTTGAAATGAGAAAAAAATTATGCAGTTATGGTAAAGTTAAAACTGATTAACAGTTTGATAACCGTACTTACTAAAACTACATCCCAAATTGTATTTAGCTCCGTGTTTAATTATATTCGCTTCCTGGAAAATGCCCATGCTATGTTTTACATATTGTTTTCTGTTTGAAGCCAAAGGACCAGGAGAGAGTGTGACAAATTGCTCCTTGACATTAAAACAATGCTTTACAATCTGCACTCGAGGTACATTAAGAAAATCAGGTAAATATTCGTACACGGGTTAATATCTAAGGCGACGCAATTCGCTGTGCGTCTTCGAGGCGTGACCGAAAGCTATGTTGGGTCGAATCCAAGATATTTGGGTCGTCATATCATTGAAAACCTTTTCAAAGCGGGGTTAAGCAACGACTCATCTTGACTTATGTAACACTTTTTTAAATAATTCACGATTATTGTTTTTTTCGCGAAATGGTAGACCACGACGACCAAGAAGACATGTTACACAGAGGGTGTGTTGGTGGAAGTTTAATCTCAGAACATGACACATTTCTACTTATATTGTAAGTTTCATGTAGAAGTAAATGTATTTCAGGCGCCAGATGAAGAATTTTGACGATATACGTCAGATACAAAGGGACATAGACAAGATTGCAAGTGATCAGAAAACGATGACAGACAAAGCTGACAAGGTGGGATGTTTCTGATTGCGATGATAGTTTTACATTTCTTATTGAAGTTGTGGAAAATGATATTTCTTGTTTCTATTTTTGTTATAAATACATTTTTGGTAACTAAAGATACTCATCTCAGGTATAATCATGTTTACCTTTAAAGCCAAATATAATATTTTCCTTTGTATATATACAGAAGATTCCATGCATTGAGAGACTAATTACCAGAGGTCACCCTTTGTACCAGCATCTGTTATGGAACTGAATAGATTATGATATCCAGTTTATATTGATGACAATATATATACCAAGCCTTCACAACATCTCTCCAACATCGATTAGAGATGTTTGCGATAATATTGTCATCAATATAAACTGGATATCATAATCTATGCATGGAATCTTCTGTGCTTCGATACTAGTTTGTATTATTTGGACATTTATTCCACCATATTTTGAAGGTAATGACCTAATTTTTATTTTAACTTCGTCTTGTTTGCCTCTCCAGATAAATTGGTATCATATTTGTAAAGCTATCCTCTAAATGAATTGCGGATTTGGTAGTTCTGAGAATAAAGGATTCAGTTTAGGCAGAAGTAGCGATTTCAGAAGTACATTTAGCATTTATATGAATCCGACGTATTTTACCTTCTTTTGAGTAATATACATAGTGGCCACTAAAATGTTGTCAGCAACAATATTTAGTTGTTCGTTTTATATATTCTAGATCCTTGAGTTGACCGTTACTGGACAAGCCAAAAACAGAGATGAAGGCTATGGCGGGAGTCGTAGTGCTGGTGTGAAGTACAATGCTGTGCAAGGTGCAGCAGTTCAGCCTAGACTGTTGACCAGTGCTAGTGCTAGTGACCTTTCAGCAGAGTAAGTGATACATATCCTATCTTTAGGGGCATGGGATTGATCAGAGCTTTATTGATCGATAGGCATGAAATGATGGCCTTATATGTATGACATATATTGCAATATTTGTTACCATATAATACAAGTTACTTTTCACGCTAAAGAGTAAAGGATCACAAGAGAGTCTTTTCATATTATGTTTTGCATAGGGACATTTGCTATTTACGTGGTAACAAGGACTTCACATTTCCAATAGGAGATTTGCAATGAGCAGGAGGGGTATTTCTTTGACGATATTGACTCTCGACTCATTAATGTCATTTTTTGATAAGTGACCAGCATCAACAAAAATATACTAATTTAGTAATGCATACTTCAAGTTGGGCCTTTGCATCCGTTAACTAATGGCACTTGTGTGAATTAATTTTTTAAGGTGGCGCACAGTGATGTGATTTGAGACTATCTTTTGAAGGGCATTACAGTGAAAGTATTTGCAGTATGTACAACACTTACAGCTGGACAAATCCAGATCCAGTTGCAGTTTCCCGAGGCAAGGGAGATAACTGACTACTAAAGTCCACTTTCCACCCTTGCCGAACTAGGCTGCAATTATAGAGATATATTGTGGCTGGACCAACGAGTCTATGCATAGTCCAATCAAATAGCGTAAGGAACTAAACATCCGGTTCGTGAAAAAACATAGATTTCAAGTGCAGATTTCGGTCGACTGCACGATTTGCAAATCATGCACATGTGTTCCGCAAACTGGGCGTCGATAGATGTTGTCCAAATCTTTTAATGTTTTTAATCAAGGTACTCAAGAGATTTGATGCTCTTCGCGGGGAAAGAACAATTTACCGTTTTATTACAATGTAGATCTTGATTACCAATCAGATCATCTTCACTGGACGCCGTCATTTTGTTTAAAGCAAATGCAAGTGGAGGGACATAGAAAGGGACATAACTCGTAATTGATACTGGTGGCGCTTCGATCGAGAGTGGAAATTTCAGCCTAGTTCGGCATGGTGGTGAAATGAGGTGAGGTGAGGTGAGGTGAGGTGAGGTGAAATGAGGTTTAACGTTGCGTCCAAGATTATTGCACTTATATAGCGATGGGTATGTACGTGTCTGTGTGTGTGTGTACTTGTCTGGACTGATGCCGATTTATAGTGCCAGCTCACTGAGATACCATGCCGCAGTTTAACATGAATACCCCACTCAGACACAGTATACTGACTCCAAGCCGACCAGTCCTCGTTTTAGCCCCTTAATGCCGAGCACCAGACAGGGTAACAACAAGTACCATCATTTAACCCTTTTGGTATGACGCGGCCGGGGATCGAAACCCGGACCTTCCGCTCTACCACTAAAACACGAAGGCGGTCCATTGGGAATTGAAATAATACATCAAATATTGAAACTGAAAATGTTGGGAAGTGTTAATAGGATATTATTCAAAGATGTAGGGGTGGGAATCACGTGTAAGTGACCTTCCGTTTACACATTATATATCGGAAAATAGGAATTATCGCAGATACACGCAAAGAGCGTTCCTGTGAAGACTGGCTGAAGGGTCTGTCTGGACTTTTATAGTCAGTTAACGCCCTTGCCTCGGAAAGATGATCTAGTTAAGGAAGAAACAGTTATTTAGAGGGTTTGCCCAGCTGCACAGTTTTGCACACATCTCCAATGTATATTTTGCAGCACCGTCTGTCAAATCTTTCAGTATTGTCAAGAGCTCTCTAAATGTTTCAGGATTCGTTCTCTGGTGCAAGAAACCAGACAGGTTGCTAGTTGGTGGGAAGAAAAGACAGCCCACATCACGAAGTGAGTTTGTACAGGTCTATTTTTCAATCACCACATTTATGGTGTCTTCAAAATAACAGCAACAACCACCAAATAATTAAGTCGCAAATCCTTGTCATCCTAGTATCTGCTTCATGTGGGTTGTGACCCTTCTTTATGATCCTGTCGGTACATACCGATGCTGAATAGTTTCGCCAAAATAGTAAACCTCTTAAAGAGGAAGAAAATGGATTGGGTGGTCAGACTTGGGGAATGATGACATGGAATCAACAGTTTCAGATGCTTCTCATAACGTTTGACTGGTCCAGCTCGACTGTTGCTGGTTGTGGCATTAAACAAGCAAACATCAAGACATAATTCACCAGATAAATGAAGTGAATGTTTGCTTCTGATTACCTACTAATATATACAACCATCGTTAAGCAGCCTCTGTTAGCATGGTATGGTGACTTTATATTTGTTACATCAACTTAGTATGCAACTAGTTGACTGGATGACGTTGGAGGTCAAGGTCACATGAAGGGAAGTAAACGTCCCCAGAAGCGAGTGCACAATGTCTTGCATGATGTAAAGTTTTAATCGTTTTGTTATATATTTCTGATGGAAATCTTTTGGGTATTCAGGACAAGGTGGGCTGCTTTTGTTTTTGCTTGTAATATCAACACCTTTTTAGTTGTTATTTCGTTTATTTTCAGAATCGAAGAATGTGAAATTCACAGTTCTGGCTAGCTGTTTAAAATCTCACTCAAAGAAGAGTTCAAAATTGAATGTCAAACAAATTTGAAAAACAAATCTAAATTGTTGTGGCTACCCTTTTGAAGGGTATCGAGTTCAACAAGGCTGCATAAGAGCAATATATCCCCTTCATACTCTTATATAAATAAAGTGCAATTCAAACTCTAGGTTGAGTATGTCTTATCCATATTTACGGTTTGGAATATCTGTTGATGTCCCTCGCAATGTTCAGCAGAAGAGCTGTCCAAAGAAACTACTTTGACTTCAATTTTGGATTCTGAGTGACCATATCATAAAAGGTACCTTCTATGAAGGAAACACTTAGGAGGTAGCAGCTGATGAATACCTGGGCCTACCTTGGAGATCAAGCCAGCCTGTATGTATTGTGTTCAACAAGAAAGAAACGCTCGGCTTTTGAAAAAGACATTTGCTGACACATAAGATCATTGGGTAGCATGTTGCGTCTTGTACCGTGTTTGTTCCTTGTAAGGGACATTATGTTTGCAACTTATCTCAGGCTGTAAATATTATTTTGCAATGGTGTTGTGTTTAGACAAACGTAACGTACGACCATCACCTGACAATACCAGAGAGGTGTGGATGTCCTTCAAACATGCTGACTCAAACAGACTGCCATTAGTTAGTCTTGTCCATCTTGATTCGATACCTTTAGATAGCAACGTTTCATTTATGTGCCTTTATGCTTAAATTAAATGTTTATTATTTTACCTGTTACATGTGCCGTTTCAAAAGAATGAATAACGATGTGACTGCATAATGGTGCACGCACGCACGCACGCACACACACACACACACACCACACACACACACACGAGAACTGAGTTAAAATATTGATTAAAACTACCGAGCGCCAGAGAGGATAACAACAAGTACCATCTTTTAACGTATTTTGGTATGGTGGGTGAGTGAGATGGGTTTAAAGCCGCTTTTAACATTATTTAAGTTACATCACGGCGTGTCAGCTTAATGTGGGAGGAAAGCCCGAAGTGATGCAGGTCTCAGACGTTTACCACTTTGGTGAAACCCACGAGCACGGGTATGGTGCTGACAAACCTAGAAACATAATAGGGGCGAACCGAGTGACCTGTTAGTAAAACGGCGATATGGTAGCAATACATTTTCATAACATGTGAACTGACACTGTCCTTGGTTTGATTGTTACTTTCATGCAACCTTTCATGAAGTAAATTTATTTCATGCGGCAGATGAAGATTCTTGCCGATATGATAACTTAAGAGTTGGCTTCCATTGTCTATTGCTAATCACCTATCAGCGCCAAGCATCTGTTGGCTTCCTGTGTTAGCTTCTACCCTTTGTTATTTTCCACCTTTTGTTATCTTATTAATTTGTACATATATATATCTCTGTCTCATGGCATTCATTCACCTGATGAAGGAGTAAGCATATACTCCCAAACGTTGTGTTCCTCATAATAAAGAAGTTGACATCCATATATTGTCTTCCTTATGTGTATCACATGGAATTTTCTGATTGCACATCTGCGACAGAATCAAGTCGTACACATTGAAAATACCTTGTGGCGCACATTTAACACGGAATTTACCGAGTTCCACACATGCGTATTTTGGTATGGTGGGTGAGTGAGATGGGTTTAACGCCGCTTTTAACATTATTTCAGTTACATCACCGCGTGTCAGCTTAATAAAGAAGTTAACATCCATATATTGTCTTCCTTATGTGTATCACTTCTAAATGCCTTTCAAAGACACGATACACGTCAGATACAAAGGGACATAGACAAGACATAAGCTGTTGTACTGACTGACTGACTGAGTATGGTTTTACGCCGCTTTTAGCAATATTCCAGCGATATCACGGCGGGGGACACCAGAAATGGGCTTCACACATTGTACCCATGTCGGGAATCGAACCTGGGTCTTCGGCGTGACGAGCGAACGCTTTAACTACTGGGCTACCCGACCGCCCTGTACACTATAGTAATAGGAAAGAATCAGGTGGTCCTCAACATTTTTAGTAATATGTTAGAATAAATCACGTCTCCGAGGTTTTGGTAGAAAATGTTGAGTGTGTGAGTTGGCCTTTAACACCGCTTTTAACAGTATTCCAGTTATATCACGGCGTGTCAGCTTAATGTGTGAGGAAAGCCTGACGTGATGCAGGTCTCAGACGACCGGGCAACCAGTGCCCCCTGAAAATGTAGAACACAGAGCCAGAGGTTTTACAACCAAAATGGAGGAGGGTATTAACCAACCTATGCACAATATGCAAGGAATACCTGAAAAATACAAGAAAATATCGGGACAGTTTATTTTTTATTTATTTCTATTTTCTTGAATGATCATGGATTTATTGTGACATTATGTGCATGTTTGTACTATGGACAGATCATATATCATAGTGATACAGGGTTTCTAAATTATAAATGTAAATAGAAGACCAGAAGACATGGAAACTTGCATAATTACAATTTGAGTATACAATAAATTTTGTAACTTCATAATATCTAAGTATTTCTTTTTGAATTAGTTAAAAGATTGGTTTTACTTTTTATCTATTAAATGGTTGGTTACAAAAGTTAACACGATAACATACCTGCACTACAAGCGTCAAAAGTGGCAGCAGGTTTATAAATTTGGACCATCTAGTCAAATACAATGTGTGAAGCTGATATATTTCCAAAAGCCGTGTAAGAACACTCACTCAAATCGCAGCTACATACACTACAATATTAGTTATTATGACTGCATTTTAAGAGAAATAGTGAGAACGGCAGAAATAACGCTGAATGAAACCTTGTATCCAGAACATCAAGGTCGTGGCCTTCATCAGTTTCTTGAGATGAACAAAAGTTATAGTCAGTTTCACCAGAATAAAAATAATATCACGGCGGGGGACACCAGAAATGGGGAGTGTGAGTGTGATTTTGATTTTACGCCGCTCTTAGCAATATTCCAGCAATATCACGGCGGGGACACCAGAAATGGGCTTCACACATTGTACCCATGTCGGGAATCGAACCCGGGTCTTCAGCATGACGAGCGAACGCTTTAACCACTAGACTACCCGACCGCCCCTATTAGTGTAGAAATTCACTAACTGGTCACAGTATATGTAGTAGTATACTACTATTTTAAGAAATGTGGTAAGACTGTGGCGAGGAGGAAAGAGAAGGAACCTGTAACTTGATACACTAGGCGATCTTAAACCTACCATTGTCGTATGTCAAAGATCCATTACACAAAAAAAACAATTCAAATGTCATACGAGGAAATATATAGAAGCAACTTCACAAACACCACACCACACCACAAAAAGTAATGTTAACACGAATGCCTAATATTTGGCGCCACTTTGAATTGTAGTTAAGTTATATCTCGGCGTAATGTGAGAGGAACCCCACAATGATGCAGCTGTTAATAACACTGAATTTACAAACCTAACGAATTCTTAGATAGGTATTACTTAGAAGTTGATGGATGACAAAATAGACACAATTTATGGATAACAACTTCTTTAATTACTGTAAAGGCGACGTTTCGGTATAGTTGGTTGGTTTGTTGTTTAACGCCGCACTCAGCAATATTCCAGCTAAATGACGGCGGTCTGTAAATAATCGAGTCTGGACCAGACAATCCAGTGATTAATATCATTAGCATCGATCCACGCAATTGGGACCGATGACATGTATCAACCAAGTCAGCGAGCCTGACCACCCGATCCCGTTAGGCGCCTTTTACGACAAGCACAGTCGCCTTTTACGCCAAGCATGCGTTTCGGTATTGACGCAACTAGTGTAAAGGATCTGTACGAAACGTTACCTTTACAGTAATTACAGAAGTTATCCATAAAATATTCCTAATTTACAAAACAAACCTCTAGTTTTCTCTCAGATTCAACCACTAAATCCTAATACAAATATTTCTCAAAAACATCCCATCCAAAATAGAGGCAGATGAAACTTATTCCCAATATACTTACCTGTTGATGGGGAAATGTAATACATTTCCACGTACGAAAGATCGAATCCTGTATTGGTTCTGCCGTAAAAACATTCCTTTTTGCACACAAAAAGACATACTGATTTTGAGACCCAGCAACTGAAATGACATGTACTGTAACACTTCCAGGGCAAAGGTTCCATTACCCTTTCCTATCATCTGGAGGATAGGAGGTTGGTGCTTAGATCTTTCACAGGTGTAGATAATAAACACAGAACATTCTAAAACTAACATGCCATTTCCTTCTGTTCTGTTTTGTGTTGTGTTGATTGCATCAAAAATCCCAATTTAAACGCTCTTAAACATAATATGCAACACATATTTTTCACAGGTTTGTTTTCAAGGGTACCCTTGACAATTCTTCCCCATCAGGTATGATATATTTCTGGAATATCTTCACTTGTCTGCTACATCAAACATAGGATTGATCCTGCAATCTCTGTGTAATATTATTAAAGGCGTCCTCACTGAAGTCATTGTGGCAATCCCAGGAGTCTTTTCAGCGAATCAGGGTCTCCAGTGAAGGTATAGTGAACGAACTGAGTGCACACCACTTATCAATATTCCCGGTATATTCGGTGACACTACATGTACATAAAAAGAGAATAATCCAGTGGATACTGTAAGGACAATGATCTGATAACATGATCATTGTACACGATGATGCATAAATGGATGATCTTCATAACAATAAGCCAAGTTCCCAATGAAACATTGCTATATGAAGGTATCTAATCAAGCTGGACAAGACTTTAACTGGAGGCAGCATGTTGGAAGAGCATCAAAGCTCACTGGCATTGTCTGGTGATGGTCGTGTGTCACGTTGTTTCAAGACAACTCCTTTGCAAAATTATATTTACAACCTGTGACAAGTTTCAGCATAATGTCCCTTACAAGGAACAAACAAAGGTACAAGAGTAAACATGCTACTTGATGTTTAATGTCAGCAAGTTTCTTTTTCAAAGGCTGACCAAAACCTTGCAGAGCACAACGGAAACAGATTGGCTCTATGTTCTGCATATGCCCATGTGTGTAATGCTATATGACAGGAACGCTGTTGAAGAATAGATTATACAGTTCTGTCTAGCCTTTGTTTCACTGTAGTAACACCGGTGCGCTTGGGTTGTGTCTATTTCCATTGATAAATGCAGTTAACTCTATTTTAGGTTCATTTACACATTCTTTACTGCATAAAAATATTCATGCAGACATGATGGTAACTATTTTCATGTCAAAACACCAGAGGGTTTTGAAGGTCCTGGGGTAGATTAAATGATTCCCAAAAGCAATATCCCGGTGTAAAACTAAAACATTTAATCCTCTGAACAAACCTGATTTATTTCTATGTAAACACTTTTTTCTCAAATTTGATGGCGTTCTTACCAAATGCTACATTTAATAGCAAAAGTGTGATCTTTTGTTTGGTATGCTTTCTGGTAAACCATGGCAATATTCATGCTTACTGCAATAACTTACTTGATGTATCGGTCATAATTCAGCATAAATGTTATCTGCTGTCAATTCTCTTGTATGGACTGTATCAGAATAGGGTTAGTTCTTTCTTCTAAGCATTGTTAACAATGCTCCAGTGGTGAGTTGGTATCAGCTTTTTCTTCAGGGATCTGCTGTTTATATCAAAGGTAGTTCTTTCTTCTGAGCTTTGTTGACACTGCTCCAGTGGGGAGTTGGTACCAGTATTGGGTTAAAGCCCTTCTTCAGGAATCTGCTTGTATCAGAATACAGCTAGTCCTTTCTCCTGAGCTTTGCTGACAATGCTCACTGGTATTGGGTGAACGTCCTTCCTTCAGGAATCTGCTGGTATTAGAAATGAGTAGAGTTTCAGTGCTGATTTGGGATCAGTATCGCTTTCAAGTCCTCTCGTCAAGAATCTCTGAATAACATTTGGTGCTGAGGTGGTATTCATATCGAGCAAAAGCCATTCCTTCATGGCGTTCTTTCCAAATGCTACATTTAATAGCAAAAGTGTGATCTTTTGTTTGGTATGCTTTCTGGTAAACCATGGCAATATTCATGCTTACTGCAATAACTTACTTGATGTATCGGTCATAATTCAGCATAAATGTTATCTGCTGTCAATTCTCTTGTATGGACTATATCAGAATAGGGTTAGTTCTTTCTTCTAAGCATTGTTAACAATGCTCCAGTGGTGAGTTGGTATCAGCTTTTTCTTCAGGGATCTGCTGTTTATATCCAAGGTAGTTCTTTCTTCTGAGCTTTGTTGACACTGCTCCAGTGGGGAGTTGGTACCAGTATTGGGTTAAAGCCCTTCTTCAGGAATCTGCTTGTATCAGAATACAGCTAGTCCTTTCTTCTGAGCTTTGCTGACAGCGCTCACTAGTATTGGGTGAACATCCTTTCTTCAGGAATCTGCTGGTATAAGAAATGAGTAGAGTTTCAGTGCTGATTTGGGATCAGTATCGCTTTCAAGTCCTCTCGTCAAGAATCTCTGAATAACATTTGGTGCTGAGGTGGTATTCATATCGAGCAAAAGCCATTCCTTCATGGCGTTCTTTCCAAATGCTACATTTAATAGCAAAAGTGTGATCTTTTGTTTGGTATGCTTTCTGGTAAACCATGGCAATATTCATGCTTACTGCAATAACTTACTTGATGTATCGGTCATAATTCAGCATAAATGTTATCTGCTGTCAATTCTCTTGTATGGACTGTATCAGAATAGGGTTAGTTCTTTCTTCTAAGCATTGTTAACAATGCTCCAGTGGTGAGTTGGTATCAGCTTTTTCTTCAGGGATCTGCTGTTTATATCCAAGGTAGTTCTTTCTTCTGAGCTTTGTTGACACTGCTCCAGTGGGGAGTTGGTACCAGTATTGGGTTAAAGCCGTTCTTCAGGAATCTGCTTGTATCAGAATACAGCTAGTCCTTTCTTCTGAGCTTTGCTGACAGCGCTCACTAGTATTGGGTGAAAGTCCTTTCTTCAGGAATCTGCTGGTATTAGAAATGAGTAGAGTTTCAGTGCTGATTTGGGATCAGTATCGCTTTCAAGTCCTCTCGTCAAGAATCTCTGAATAACATTTGCTGCTGAGGTGGTATTCATATCGAGCAAAAGCCATTCCTTCATGGCGTTCTTTCCAAATGCTACATTTAATAGCAAAAGTGTGATCTTTTGTTTGGTATGCTTTCTGGTAAACCATGGCAATATTCATGCTTACTGCAATAACTTACTTGATGTATCGGTCATAATTCAGCATAAATGTTATCTGCTGTCAATTCTCTTGTATGGACTGTATCAGAATAGGGTTAGTTCTTTCTTCTAAGCATTGTTAACAATGCTCCAGTGGTGAGTTGGTATCAGCTTTTTCTTCAGGGATCTGCTGTTTATATCCAATTTAGTTCTTTCTTCTGAGCTTTGTTGACACTGCTCCAGTAGGGATTTGGTACCAGTATTGGGTTAAAGCCCTTCTTCAGGAATCTGCTTGTATCAGAATACAGCTAGTCCTTTCTTCTGAGCTTTGCTGACAACGCTCACTAGTATTGGGTGAAAGTCCTTTCTTCAGGAATCTGCTGGTATAAGAAATGAGTAGAGTTTCAGTATCGCTTTCAGGTCCTTTCTTCAAGAATCTCTGAATAACTTTTTTGTGCTGAGGTGGTATTCATATCGAACAAAAGCCATTCCTTCTGAGATCTGTTGTCAATTCTCTTGTATTTACTGACCTGTACTTGTATCCCACCCTGAAAACATCAATATCTTTGCAGAAGAACAACAGATCAGATCGTAGTTAGTGACTGTCTGTTTTGAGCCACTCAGAAGCAAGGTTGCAGTTGTTTTGAAAATGTCTAGTGCAACCAGGCTGCGGGTAATGTCAGTGGTAAGGGCTGTTTCCTGGGTTGACACGCCGTCATATGTGTGCTGCCTCACAGTTTCAGGTTCGTCATCAGCTGCTACTTCATAGAAGCTACCCTCCTAAGGGTTTCCTTCATAGAAGGTACCTTTTATGAAATGGTCACTCAGAATCCAAAATTGAAGTCATAGTAGTTTCAGACAGGTTTTTCATTGAACATGGAGAGGGACATCAAAAGATGTTCCCAACTGTAAATAGCAGTAGAAAAGGATACTCAGCCTTGGGTTTGAATGGCATTTCACTAATAAAAGAGAAAAAACTGGATACATTGCAGTTATCATGCCACGTTCAACTCAAAACCATTCAAAAGGGTAGCCACAAATAATTTAGATTTCTTAACTGCTTATTTTATTTTATTTCCATGTTCCAAATACATCCAATTTGTCTATGACATTCAATTTTGAACTCCTTTTTGAGTGAGATTTCTTGACAGCGATCCAGAACTATGAAGCGCATTTTCTTCGAATCTGAAAATGAATAAAACAACAACTAGAAAGGTGTTTGCATTACAAGTAAAAACAGAAGCAGCCCCCCTTTTCCTGAATACCCCAAAATTTTCCATCAGAAATATAGATCAAAACCATTCAAACTTTACCATGTTTACCACATCATGCCCAAGATATTAGGCACAAGCTTATGGAGATGCTTAATTTACTCTAAGTCACCTTGACCACACAGGTGGTGTAACAATCATCAAATCTCAATACCATACTAACAATACTTCCTGAATGACCTTTAAAGTGACCTTAACATAGTGAGTGAGTAAGTGAATATTGTTTTACGCTGCTCTTAGCAATATTCCAGCAATATCACGGTGGGGGACACCAGAAATGGGCTTCACACATTGTACCCATGTCGGGAATCGAACCTGGGTCTTCGGCGTGACGAGCGAACGCTTTAACCACTAGGCTACCCGACCGCCCCTGACCTTAACATAACCTTAAGATAGGTGTTGAGTTTGTTAAGCAATATTTGAAAATGTTTATTTGATGGAATAATTCTCCAAGCCTGACCACCAATCCATTTTTTTCTTCTTTGAGGGGTTTACTATTTTGGTGCAACTATTCAGCATACTGATTGGTACTGACAGGATCACAAAAAAGGACCTACAACCCACATGAAGCAGACACTAGCATGATAAGGATTTGGGACTTAATTGTTTGGTGGTCGTTGCTGTTACTTTGATGACACCATGAATGTAGCAATTGACAAATAGACCTGTACAAACTCACTTCTTGATCAGCTCTGTGTTTTCTTCCACCAAACCAGCAATCTGTCTGCTTTCTTGCATCAGAGAACGAATCCTGAAACATTTAGAGAGATCTTGACAATAATGAAAGATTTGACAGAGTGCTGCAAAATATACATTGGAGATGTGTGCAAAACTTTGCAGCTGAGCAAATAGTGCTCAGGGATGTAATCATATGACTATCTTCCGATACGATATGTATTGCAATACTTTGTTAACGATACATGTCGCGATACATAACTCGTGACAATTTTGTGAGAATATTTATATTTCCTAGGGCAGAAACACAATTAAATAGGCTTGAAGCTTCCTGAATATCTGTTCTCGAACTTGAAATGAAAACGTCTTATTTCAATCCATCAGAAATCAGAAAGAAATAGAGTGTCGACATAAGTATTGTCTATTATTAAATAAGACATCTTCCCGAGGCAAGAGAGTTCACTGACTATAAAAGTCCAGTTTCCACCCTTGCCGAACTTGGCTGAATCTCTGGGCTTGATCGTAATGCCACCAGTGGCTATTACGAGTTATGTCCCTTCTAAACCACTGCTATGGATCAATCCGATTCCACCTCTCGTATCACTTGCATTTGCTTCAAACAAAATGGCGGCACCCAGTCAGGATGATTTGATCGATAATCAAGATCTATATTGTGATAAAATGAGTCTTACATGGCAAAATGTATTAAATCATGTGAGCAGCTTGATTAAAAACATGAAAAGATTAGGAAAATATCTGCTGACAAGGAGTTGGTGGTGCACATGCTTTGCAAATCCTGATATCTACCGAAATCTGCATGACAGTTTACAAACCGGAATTTTGATTTCGTTGCACGATTTTGTTTGGACTATGCATAGACTCGTTTTAGACAGCTAAAATGTAACTCAATGATACCAGCCTATTTCGGCAAGGGTGAAAACAGGACTTTCATAATCAGTTGACTCTCTTGCCGCGGGAAGATGTAAATAACATAGCAAATCCCCTGTTTGCAAAATACCTTAGATGTGTGAACAAATTGAGTAATATAATATGAATGAATGGTTCGATGTAAAAAACAATACAGGATTAAAATATTTGATTCATGAAGTGTGTATCAAATATCATATCAAGATGACATTCCCCACCAGATCATTGCAAATCTTCACAAAGAAATGTGGAAGTCCAGCTTTTCATGGAAATATCAAAACCCTTCAATTACAAAAGTCTGAACTCTTTTTCAAACACTTTTTACACAGATATTTTTTCCAACACCTAAGGGTTGGTGTTTGAAATCTAAAACATTTTTTTCTGTAAGCTTTGTAGACTTTCAGCTTTAATGAAATCATGTTGATATATACGATACAAAAAACAGTTAACAGTTAGGGACCATCCCATTCTTTCGTAACTATAGTTAATCTGTCATGTCATATAGTAACAAGAAAGAATCGGTCCATTGTTTTTGAGCAGTATATATATAATTATGAAAAGACCTACTGGTGAGATTCTCTGAATAAACGTTTACTTTTTACTTTTAGGGTGAAGAGTAACGTGTATGACATGGTAAAAAATATTGCAATACATATACATGTAAGAAAATCATTTCATGCCTATCGACAGCGTTAGAAATTGACACAAGACCTGTAGTAATTGCCAAACTTACTATATGATGTCATTATAAGGACTAGTGGACTAAAATTGTTAGTTTCTACCACTGTATTGATGAATAAAGCTCTGTCATTATAAGGACTAGTGGACTAAAATTGTTAGTTTCTACCACTGTATTGATGAATATAGCTCTGTCATTATAAGGACTAGTGGACTAAAATTGTTAGTTTCTACCACTGTATTGATGAATAAAGCTCTGTCACTAAAAGGACTAGTGGACTAAAATTGTTAGTTTCTACCAGTGTATTGATGAATAAAGCTCTGTCATTATAAGGACTAGTGGACTAAAATTGTTAGTTTCTACCACTGTATTGATGAATAAAGCTCTGTCATTATAAGGACTAGTGGACTAAAATTGTTAGTTTCTACCACTGTATTGATGAATAAAGCTCTGTCCTTAAAAGGACTAGTGGACTAAAATTGTGAGTTTCTACCACTGTATTGATGAATAAAGCTCTGTCATTATAAGGACTAGTGGACTAAAATTGTTAGTTTCTACCACTGTATTGATGAATAAAGCTCTGTCATTATAAGGACTAGTGGACTAAAATTGTTAGTTTCTACCACTGTATTGATGAATAAAGCTCTGATCAATCCCACGCATACGAACATAGGATATGTATCACTTACTCTGTTGAAAGGTCACTAGCACTAGCACTGGTCAACAGGCTAGGCTGAACTGCTGCACCTTGCACAGCACTGTACGTCACACCAGCACTACGACTCCCGCCATAGCCTTCATCTCTGTTTTTGGCTTGTCCAGCAATGGTCAACTCAGGCACTGACTCAGCTGGGGCTGTTGGCAGCAGCCGGCTGTATGTGAACTGATCCCCATTTGTCACCCACGTCTGCACTTTCTCAAATATCTCCTGGCATTTGGCTTCAGTCTGGAAGTAATGTTACTCTTGCTTTGAAATCCTCGAATATAGGTGAGGTGAAATTGGGTTTAACGTCTCGTTCAAGATTATTGCACTTATATAGCGACGTGTGTGTGTGAGACTGCTTGTACTAGTCCGGATTTATAGGGCTAGGTCACTGAGATACCATGCCTACCAGTCCATGTTTTAGCACCTTTATGCCAAGCGCCAGACAGGGTAACAACAAGTACCGTCCTTTGGTAGGACGCGGACGGGGATCGAACACTGCACCTTCCGCTCTCCGGGCGGACGCTCTACCACTAGACCACGGAGGCGGTCCCACGTATACAACTGTGACACATGTTGCAATAGTACAGCCTATGTTCAAAAGACGCTTTATATTTGATGTACTTTCAAACAACACACAGACGACCCACATAGAATTTTATGAAAATATACCAAAATAATATTGATAGTTGGTTGGTTGGTTGGTTTGTTGTTTAACGCCGCACTCAGCAATATTCCAGCTATATGACGGCGGTCTGTATAAATCATCGAGTCTGGACCAGACAATCCAGTGATTGATAACATGAGCATCGATCCACGCAATTGGGATCGATGACATGCATCAACCAAGTCAGCGAGTCTGACCACCCGATCCCGTTAGTCGCCTTTTACGGCAAGTATGGGTTGCTGAAGACCTATTCTACCCCGGAATCTTCACGGGTCAAATAATATTGATAGAAAAGCATAAACGATCTATAAAATATAAAAATAAACATCTATAAAACAAACATTTCAACCATTGTGACAACAATTCTTTTGTAGTGGCTATGTATACCACTCAAAAGAAGCTACAGAACACAGGATCCTTACATATTACTGCAGTTAATCTGTCATGTAATATCAAGAATGGGGTGTTCTTAAACTTCTGTTGACTAGTATACCATGATCAGTTAACAAACAAATCATGATACCAGGCATCTAACTTATAGGCTGGTGACACAACTGTCATAATACTAGCTAAGTTTTACATGCCATCAAAGAGCTAAGGATCTATTTATCAATTCTGTTTTTCAACAACCACTTTGTGGGACACTATAACACACAATCAGCCACGTCACATGTGTAACAACCCAATCTTCAGTTATTGGCTCTTTGACAAGTATGGGAAACTGGGGACAAATGCTCTAGAATCATCATGGAGGCTGCACATTTCGATGTCACTGACAGTGTTCTGCAGTGTGTAAAAAGATGTTTGTACTGATGGTGCTGCTTCTGACACAAGCTCTTCCTCTAAATAGCACATTTGCATTACCTGCAAATGTGATGTATGTGTTTGTTTGTTGTTTAACGCCGCACTCAGCAATATTACAGTGAGTGAGTTAAAGTTTAACGTCACATCGGCAATATTTCAGCCATATTGCAGCAATATTACAGCTATATGACAGCGCTCCGTAAATAATCAAGTCTGGACCAGACAATCCAGTGATTAACATCATGAGCACTGATCCGCGCAATTGGAATGTGATGACATGCATCAACCAAGTCAGCGAGCCTGACCACACCATCCCGTCAGTCGCCTTTTACGACAAGCATAGTCGCCTTTTACGACAAGCGTGGGTTGCTGAAGACCTATTCTTCCCTGGGTCTAACAGAACACTGAAATGCTTTTGAAGCTTATTGTGAAAATCTCTTTAGCAAGCCAACATTATCATATGAAAAGAAGACAACCTACTTTGTCAAGTTTTGTGCTTAACAGTTGTTGGCAATCAATCACACTCTCAATGTTTTTCTCGATCTTTGAGATGCGGTTCAGGTTCTTTGAAAGTGCCCTGAAATGAAACCACCATAATTATTCAACCCTGCATAACAAAATCAGCTCCATAAAATGTTGGTTAATATGATGTGGTCATCACATAAGAGTCAGGATACATTATCTCGTGAAATGAGACAGTTTTGAGAATCATATCCAAACTGGTGTTTAATGAGCGAACACATTAACCACCAATATATATACCTCCACCACATGTTCACTGAGATACTTACGCGAAGAAGTTCATGGAATCTGTGTACATGATGTCCAGGTTTCTGTAGCAGTGATCTTGCAGGATGGATGAGATTGACACACTCTGATCTTGCAACTTTTGTCTGGAGGTAAAATGGAAGACATTTTTGTGAATGATGTTTCTCAAAGCTTTAAACATTGTTAAAAACTGTAGAAAAAGATACTGTAGTGTTTAAGAAATAATGTCTAAAGTATACTACTGAAAGAAAGACTTGTTTGTTTGCTGGTTTGTTAAAGCCGCACTCAGCAATATCCAATTTCTAAGATGTCTGTGTGCAGTTATTGGAGATCATGAGCATCAATCTATGCAACTTTGAAAAGATGACATGCCTAAACCAAGCCAACAAGGCTGACCACCTGATTTCTTTAGTCGCCTCCATTGAGAATCATGAGTTGCTAAAGACCAAATCTAACCCGGATCTTCAGGAGTGCTGATTGAAAGAACTGGTAGAAAAACGAATTTGGCAGAAAGTCAGCTTAGGGAAGCTTAAAATGTGACTGTGGAGCAGAGCAGGAACCATTCAAATCTAAAATGAAAGTTGGATACATATATAATTCGGTTTACCTTTCAAATCCATGTATTTGTTGATCATGTGATGTCATCTGATCCTTCACATTGCGGTCACGGCGGAAACGGCTCTGTATACTGGCTATCACGGAGAGATGGTGACTGATCTTTGACAAACTAAAACCAAAAACACACAAATTCAGTCAATAGACAAAACACTACAGGAAAGACACAGCAGTGATGATAATGAAACTCAGGACATGTTCAGGATCAATAACAGCAACAGTGTAACAGGTGAACACAAGGGAGGTAACTCTGCCGGCTATAGCACGGTATGAAATTTTAGAGGTGACATCCTTTGAATACATTAATACATAAGGGAGGTAACTCTGACATGAATAGCACCACATACAACATCCTTGAAATACATTAACCCTCAAATGTTCACAAGCTATACAATCCAAACTCTGACTACAGCAGAACAAATAATATATACATTATCAGCTTGTCAAATACCATGTATCACGTATACTTGCATTAAACAAAAACAATGTGACATTTATATACTGACACATTGAACAGTACCACAATAGTATAACAAACAAAATTGTAGTCAGCATGGTTAGAGAGCAAGTTAATGGCATCTTTAACACTGTCATAAGCAAAATATTTGTACGTATTCAAGGAAAACCAGAGATCTCTAGATTTGAGCAATATTCCATATAATCCAGATGATTGAGAGTAAGACAAATCTACCATGTCATGGCTGAGGTTTGGTTTTCAAATAATCCTCAGGAATGGTTTGGCATCCAAATGCAAGTCCATCTCTATTTTGTTGTATGTAACTAAAAGCATGGAGTATTTGAGACAACTGCTGCCTCAGTAAAACTAGGGACATCGTGGCTTTCTTACGACTTGGTAACTTCTCCCGCCAAAATTGTTTCGTTTCCTCAAAACTGTTGTCATGATATCAAAATTCAAAACAACTACGACAACTGTCCAAACAATTTGCTTTCTACACAAAATACAACATTTAATGAATGAATGATACCTCACTTTCGAGACTTAACTCATTTGAATGGTTGAATTTTAAATTTCGAGTGAGTTGAGATTTACGCCTCTTTTAGCAATATCACAGCTTCACACATTGTACCTGTGAGTAGAATCAAACCCAGTCACCAGAGTAACGAGCGAACACTTTAACCATCAGGCTACCCCCTGACCCAATTAGTTTGTTTGTTTTTTTGTTTGATTGATTGATGTTTAACACTGCACTCAGCAATATTCCAGCTATATGACGGAGGTCTGTAAATAATTGAGTCTGGATCAGACAATCCAGTGATTGATATCATGTACATTGATCTATGCAGCTGGGGTCGATGACATGATGACACAACCAAATCAACGAGCCTGACCACCCGATCCCGTTAGTCATCTCTTACGACAAGCATAGTCCCTTTTACGGCAAGTATGGGTTGCTGAAGACCTATTCTACCCCGGCTCTTCACGGGTCCCGACCCAATTAGACTTAGACTGGCTGTAAACATGACAGAGCTATGGGCTGGAAAAGCTAAGTCATGTGTTGTTCATGGCATTAGATGACTTGGTTTTCGTGAGAGTATAATTTACTGTAGATAATGAATACTGGTTTGCAAATTTTTGAACAGTAATTGTTATGGGCTTAGGAGAAATGTTTAAATGATGTGTATATGTTCTGAGAAGCAGGACTATCAACTTTATGCATCTTACCAGTCTGTGTCCTTGCATCTGGCACACCATTTCTTCATGCGAACCTCATCCTGATCGAGCCTCTCAACCAGCGCGGTGCGATAGTTGACTATCTCCAAAGTTCTCTCCTCTGCCTAAGAGATACAAATTTAATAAAAGATCAAAAGGAAAATTGTAATTCAATGACCATAATGATGCTACGATCCAACAGAGATAATTTATGATATTTGACATGGCAGTACAATATCCCATGAGTCTCTGGCAAACAGGATCACTTGTCTAGATACTTGTCAGTGAAATGTACATTCAAGGCAGCAAGAAGTTATTTAATCTCAGGTTAAAATGTTGACAATACCAGGAATGGTTGCCTCTCAGAATATTATCCAATGTTTAGAAGATAGAATCAACAAGCCATGATCTAATCAGATATAATACAATAAGAATTTCTCAGTTTTTTATTTGTTTGTTTATGTTGTTCAACGCCCCACTCAGCAATATTCCATCTAAATGACGGCGGTCTGTAAATAATCGAGTCTGGACCAGACAATCAAGCATCGATCCACTCAAATGGGTTACGATGACGTGCATCAACCAAGTCAGCAGGCCTGACCACCTGATCTCGTTCGTCGCCTCTTACAACAAACGCTTTTTACAGCAAGCATGGGTTGCTAAAGACGGGTACAATGTAGCAATGATACTCAAGATTGCCACAGCGGCCATACTTTGACCAAAACCAACCAAGCATAAAAATGGGTTTGTAAAATTGGTATCTGGGAACATGGCTAGCAACTATGTTACCTTGGCATGTACTGTGAGCAGTGTCCTGTCCCGGAGGATGTCGTCCATGGTTGTACCTGGGTATTTCATCACATTCAGAAGCATCCTGATCATTTCCATCATGGAGTAGAATGTCTCAAACCTCTTCTTTGACTCTGATAGCAGCTGAGACATTGTCAGGAACCTTTCTCCTGAACATTTCAGTCTGAACTGGAGATATAACCTGGAAGATTAAGAATAATTCCATGCCAATATATTGCGATGAACTCCACAGACAACCATCATTTTCTACAACTTCATGGTATTCAGGTCCATCCTTTTACCTGCTGTAACATGCACTACCCTGTCGTGCTCAAAGTGGGAATTTATTCCAATGATAGACAACCAAATCACATGAACTGGTTTAGTGAGTATGGTTTTACGCTGCTTTTAGCAATATTCCAGCAAATATCATGGCAAAATACACCAGAAATGCGCTTCACACATTGTACCCATGTGAGGATTCGAACCTGGGCCTTCGGTGTAAGGAGTGAACGTTTTAACCACTAGGCTACCCCTCGCCACCACTAGCTGGTTTAAGCTCATCAATATATATGCATATATATACACCAGCCTTTAATGTTCACACTTGTTGGCTAGCCTTAGATGACTAAATGGTCCAGATGACAACAAAGAACTCCATGATAAACCTAAATAAGGCTGAAATGACCGGTCAATCATTAGTTGAATGTATACTGGTAGAAGGACAATACACTGATGCATCGCGATGTTCTACTTTTCCATTTAAGTACTGATCACAATAACTAACATATATATATCGATTACTATCTTAAATGTTTTCTGTAATAACTGTTACTACTAACAGTAATTAGTAGTGAACATAGGCAGTGAAAATGTACATACTTCATCCATTGCACCATACATGACATGATAGGAATCGGATGTTGAGCAAGGTAGCGTGATAAGTATCAGAACGTGTGCAAGGTAGCATGATACGTTTCAGAACGTGTGCAAGGTAGCATGATAAGTATCAGAACGTGTGCAAGGTAGCGTGATAAGTATCAGAACGTGTGCAAGGTAGCATGATACGTATCAGAACGTGAGCAAGGTATCGTGATACGTATCAGAACGTGAGCAAGGTATCATGATACGTATCAGAACGTGAGCAAGGTAGCGTGATATGTATCAGAACGTGAGCAAAGTATTGTGATGCGTATCTGATCGTGAGCAAGGTATCATGATACGTATCAGAACGTGTGCAAGGTAGCGTGATAGGTATCAGAACGTGAGCAAGATATCGTGATATGTATTGGATCGCACAGTTGGTATATCATTCCAGCCCTACAAGTACAAAAGTAGTTAAAACAAGGATAAGTTGCCGGGGGCCCCCTTCAGCCCGGACAAACAGGATCGTTATTCATGGACAGATTAAAGGGACGACCTACCTGAGGCAGAGCTCAGCTTCTACCAGCATCTCCTGTTTCTGCACAGTCTCCGCTGTGTACCGCTTGATAAGGTGGGCTCTAGCACAGCAGCTGTGAGCCAGTCGCATGTCTTTGTCCATTTCAATAAAATTGACAAAATCTGGCACCCGAGCTAAAAATGACAAGAATGCGACAACACATATAACACGTTGATTTACAAAACAAAAACAGCAATTTAACCACGAAAAGATCATTTGTCAAAAAGGTCTTGTTAAACTGTTGCTCAAACTATTTTCATTATTTATTTCAACACTAGAACAAATACAGTTGCATCCTAGTCTCAGATTTGTGTGGATGGAAAGCCCAAGTTGTGGGCTTGTTCCACTGGTGAAACACGCGAGCACTGGAATGTTGGTGACAAGGATCATAGTTATACAGGATTCAAACCCATGATAAATAGCTTGGGTTGTAGGTCTGCTGTATGAACTGCAGCCCACTAAGACACTTGGCCACCTTGTGGACACAGATTCAACACAAGTGCAGCTCAAAAGTGTCTCCATTCCTACCCCGTCTCACACAGTAATCTTCCTGGAGACAAATAATATTAGGAAATTTCAATGATATTATCCACTTTTGATAGGACATTTCCCTGTATCTGATCTGAAGGGTTCCAAGACAAGTCAACCTCAGAAAGAACAAGACTGGACTATTCAACAGCCTCCTCTTGGCCTTAGTACTGTGCTTATTCAAAACCTCAAAAAACTGCAAAACATGGCATATCTATCTTACATAAAGCTATGAAAAGAAACGAAACATCAACCCAGTTCTAAAAGAATAACACTTGTCAAAAATAACAGCAGCTAATGAGTACTACCGTATATCGGTGTGTATAAAGCAAGTTTTTCATACCGAGAATGAGGGGGTTAAGAAGAGGGGTCGTCTTATACACGGGGTAGAAGATCTCACATTTCTTTCCAGTAGTTTCACTCTCAGCTTTCACTGATGATGTCAACCTACGTTTGATAACCAGCCCGGCACTTGACAATAAAACTTCGCATTTCGTCCTAGATCCATTTGCTCATCTACCAATGCATACATGGATCAGCACCTGACTATCTGACCGAGCCACCATGAAGCCTGAGAAAACCAACAACGCCTAACAGTGGCGAAACAGAAACTCCAATCCTGTGGACTCTGTTCACCATGGCTATAAAGCTATTTTTTCCCACTTTTCAAAACTGCTCTTTCAACCCACCTTTCCCAGCTCCACTGTAATGTAACCTCCTTGTGACCACTATCTCTTTAATGTGGCACTGTGAACATCAGTGGATGGATTTGGCAGATTACAAATGTCCACGTAACTTCTGCCCACAATATATTCCTTTACATCTACAGCAACAGTTTCAGTTTTTCATTAGATATTATTGAGTATCTGCAAGTACTGACACATTCTTGCAGTCCGACTTCACGGTGTGTCTGTGCCTTTCACATCCAGTTCTTTCATATTTCAATGGTCAAGTTAATACCTCGGCTTATCTACGGGGTCAGCTTATCTGCGGTCATATGTGGTAGTTAAAAAACAAATTCTTACGTATGTCAGGGTGGTGCAGTTTTTCTTTTTCCTGAGATTTCATGTCACATTGGTAAAGGAAGATTGTAGCTTGTAACACATGGAGAGGGTATGAATTGATGGTGGCTGTCGGGTCGATGATCTCTTCCAGCAGCTTGCCATTTAGCAACAACAGTTGTTCTGTTGCAGGGATCTCTGTGAGGGATGCTATGTGCTCCCTCAGAGTTGAATATCTGAAACGTTGAGACATATAGAGTGAATCATCATATCTTCATAGTCTTTTGTCTGACAAAACTGTGACACACATCATAATTTGGTCTAAAGACACCATTCAAGAGCAACATAAACAAGAAAACAGTGTCATCACTATCCCCCGCCATGGGCATATTAGTGAGTGATTGAGTGAGTATGGTTTTACGCCGCTTTTAGCAATATTCCAGCAATATCACGGCGGGGGACACCAGAAATGGGCTTCACACATTGTACCCATGTCAGGAATCGAACCCGGGTCCTTGGCGTGACGAGCAAAGGCTTTAACCACTAGGCTACCCGACCGCCCCTATTTCCTTAAGAAGAGTGATTGAGGTTTTACGCTGATTTTAGCAATATTCCAGCAATATCATGGCGGGGGAACACCAGAAATGGGCTTCACACATTGTACCCATGTCGGCGTGACGAGCTAACGCTAACCACTAGGCTACCTGACCGCCCCTCCTTAAGAAGAGATAGGCACAGGGGTGGCTTAATGTCATGAAAAACCTGATTTTAAATTTCCCATTGCAGACACTATGCACTAAATAGAAAAAAACCGACATGGATCAAGGGCCGTAATTGTGAATGCACAAAATCTAAAAGCATGTAGCAAGTGACGAAACTCTGTAGAAACATAGTCGATTTCGAACTCAGTCTTGACAAGTATCTCTCAGATAGGCATGAAACCTTTCATTCATGTAACTTCAGTAGTTTATGAGAAAGCTTGTCCCCATTTCATACAGTATGCACCATGTTAAAAAGCACGGAGCATTGGCCATAACTCTGTGAAAAATTAATTTAAGACACCAAATAACTCATTTAAGATTATGACCAGTAAGATAAGTGTGCAAAATTTCATTTGCTCTAACCTTAATAGTTATTGCAGATGGGAAGCAGATGGAAGGAAGGACAGACAGAGGAGCTCTATATCATCATTGTGTGTGTGTGTGTGTGTGTGTGTGTGTGTGTGTGTGTGTGTGTGTGTGTGGAATCAAATTCAAAAGTTTATCTTTTCAGCATGTCATTATCATGCCAATGTTAAAGTCATTTGAACTTGAAATATTTTACGGAAATAAATACCACTGTCAGCAATATTGCAGCTATTTCACTACAGCCTGTAAATAATTGTTTATGAACAAAGCAAACCAGTGACTAAAAGTATGAGTAACATCCTTAACAAGCATAGGGTTTAGGGCTGGGATGGGTAACTTGGGTGCGTGGTTAGTCACGTGATATTTTGTTTAATGACAAAAATTATCTGAAACTCTATGGTTACACTACAAGTCTCCTATGTTCCCATATCTTTCTGACAATGCACACATTCCTTCTGACTTTTATATGTTTGAATAAAGATAAGACTTCATACAGTAAACTTAAGTGTTTGCATGACCAGATCGTTTTACACGTGTATCTAAATACATTTTACCAGGGCTATGGTCAAACTTTTCTAAATCGGACACTTTGTACCTATCTCTAGCTATCTACAGCGGGTATCCGGGTAGGGTTGGGTAATAGGGTGGTGGGTACCCGGGTAGTAAATTTAGACTCGTACCAGCCCTAATAGGGTTCTAGTCTTCCCCAGAATACAGTGGGTTCTTCTCGTCCAGCGTGTATATATTTACATGCTGCAATAGCTGAAATATTTTGGCAGTAACAAACAGAATAATGGTTTATGTTGTGGCAGTGCCTTAGAACTAAACTTATCTTCCATGCAAACTAATAGTCATGAAACTCACGTGTCAGTCTTGTCCAGGTAAAGCTTGAGATGAGTACAAGATGATGTATGAAATATTGACAAGGTGAGTTTGCTATTGATTTTGTACACGGCATTAAAAAAAGCATCATAGGTTATGACTCTAGCCTCATCTGTCTCCATGAGACCTGCTAGTAGGGGAACGACGAGTTTCCTCAATCCACTGAAACATATATACAAAATACTGGATTAGCGAGTGTGTCAATGACTGGAGATGTCTCAACCTTTGTTGAACAAAAGCTGAGTTGAAATGGACAAACAAATTGTCTGAAAAGAAATCATTATGTCATTTATTGAAAGATAATGAGGGACAACGGTTGACATGCCATGACTGTAAATCAACTAGCTGATCATATAAAACATCCTCAGGAGACACTTCTAACTTCTAAAGAGCCAAACTACTATGAACAGGAAGTCAACAAGTCAGCAATGCTATCACTTCAAATGCAGAAGCACTATCAACCAAACAACCATAAAATAACCCCAACAGGAACTTCACATCACAAGAACCAACCAAACAATCAATGACCAACACCAAACTTCCCAAAACAGATGAATACAGAATCAAGCAACACAACCAAATACATGGAAAACCACCAACAGGACCAAATCAAACCACATCAACTCACCAACAAAACCAAATCAAACCACATCAACTCACCAACAAAACCAAATCAAACCACAACAACTCACCAACAGAGCCAAATCAACCACATCAAGTCACCAACAGAGCCAAATCAAACCACATCAACTCACCAACAAAACCAAATCAAACCACATCAACTCACCAACAAAACCAAATCAAACCACATCAACTCATCATTAAAACCAAATCAAACCACATCAACTCACCAACAAAACCAAATCAAACCACATCAACTCACCAACAGAGCCAAATCAACCACATCAACTCACCAACAGAGCCAAATCAAACCACATCAACTCACCAACAAAACCAAATCAAACCACATCAACTCACCAACAGAGCCAAATCAACCACATCAACTCACCAACAGAGCCAAATCAAACCACATCAACTCACCAACAAAACCAAATCAAACCACATCAACTCACCAACAGAGCCAAATCAAACCACATCAACTCACCAACAAAACCAAATCAAACCACATCAACTCATCATTAAAACCAAATCAAACCACATCAACTCACCAACAAAACCAAATCAAACCACATCAACTCACCAACAGAGCCAAATCAACCACATCAACTCACCAACAGAGCCAAATCAAACCACATCAACTCACCAACAAAACCAAATCAAACCACAACAACTCACCAACAGAACCAAATCAAACCACATCAACTCACCAACAAAACCAAATCAAACCACATCAACTCACCAACAGAACCAAATCAAACCACATCAACTCACCAAGTGAAAAGCCAACAAAACCAAATCAACTCACCAACAGAACCAAATCAAACCACATCAAGTCACCAACACAACCAAATCAAACCACATCAACTCACCAACAAAACCAAATCAAACCACATCAACTCACCAACAAAACCAAATCAAACCACATCAACTCACCAACAAAACGAAAACAAACTACATCAACTCACCAACAGAGCCAAATCAAACCACATCAACTCACCAACAAAACCAAATCAAACCACATCAACTCACCAACAAAACCAAATCAAACCACATCAACTCCCCAACAAAACCACATCAACTCACCAACAGAACCAAATCAAACCACATCAACTCACCAAGTGAAACGCCAACAAAACCAAATCAACTCACCAACAGAACCAAATCAAACCACATCAACTCCCCAACAAAACGAAATCAAACCACATCAACTCCCCAACAAAACAAAATCAAACCACATCAAGTCACCAACAGAACCAAATCAAACCACATCAACTCACCAACAAAACTACATCAACTCACCAACAAAATCAAATCAAACCACAACAACTCACCAAGTGAAACCCCAACAGAATCAAATCAAACCTCATCAACTAACAACCAAAAGCCCAACACATCATAGTTCACCATCACTGTGAATACCAGTACAAGGACCAAAGATCTGTGATCAACTTGTGGTCCAGATATGCAACCAACCATGCCCAAACTCAAGGATTCTTCCACATTCTTCTGAAAATTCCACACATGACAAGTCACCATAAATTTGATCAATTTCTTGTTCACTTCACATCTGATCTGAAATAACTATCACTGAATACAATTACAAATAAAAACCAAAATGAAAATCAACAAACCATTGCTCTAGATCATCCACCAAAGAAATCTTAATCATAAGGACCATCGATCTGTGATCATAACATGGTCCAATACTTGACAGTAATCAGTGCTAATATCACATCCTATTTTGGTCTTAAGGATTTTTTGTTTTCACTGACAATCTGCTGGAGCTTGGCCCTGTTCCACAAAGAGATCTTAGCTCTACAATTGTCATCTTACTCTTAAAGTTTGCGAGTTAAGATCGGATTAGCGCTAAGATCGCTCTGTGCAACGGAGCCCTGGCATGTACCAGGGGATCTTTAACACAGGTGTTATAATCAACCTACCACCAGTATGATCCGGTACAGTCCAGATTAAGGGACAACAAGTGAAACTGTCAAAGATTCAGCATTATACATCAAACGAAAAGTGAATGATTTACATTTTGCAACATGTCGTGTATTGTTCAAGGTCAATGTGACTGGGAGCACTCAGTAGCACTGCAACAGTCTTGCTATAATATCTTTGCAACATCACTTCGTTGCACTCATGACAATGGACTGTTGCTACATGTCAGAAATTACTAGAAATACATCAATGTGCACATTTCCCTCTGTATAAATGTCTTATTGATCTAACAGTTAAATACTATTATCATACTTTATGCAACACTGTAAGTGATTTCCTGTATCCCCTGTAGTAAAGGGTGAATTGGATGCGTTAATGAGTACACCTGGAGTAAAACAATGCATTCTATCTCCCTTCTCTTTTTCAATTGGTCAAATAGCATACCTTGATAGAGGGCTCGTCAGGGGCAGCTCGTAACTCCAGTTGATAGGGCCTTGATCAAAGTTCTGAACCCCAGAAATAACTCCACTGGCTTTTTGGGAAACAATTTCAAACCTGAAGAAGACGAATATGACACAATTCTCATGACACGGGTCAATTTCACACCAAGTTATCATAATCTGAACTTCCTATGTTCGGACCATCAACAATAACTTCGGACAGTAGGATCTGAAGATAAGTTTGTGGAATGAAACCACAATATACATGATACAACTACTTCAAACTGTCCTCATTATCCGGTGTCCTCATTTCTCCATTCTATTATGATCTATACTCTGGGCGCTTTGTTTTGGAAGTGACAGAATTTTTCTCAAAATGCCTCTTTTGAACATGAGGTTGCCATAGATTCACATTAAAAATCACGGTCCCATTCAATCAAGTCTTTGATATACTCAAATGAATCAAAGAACTGTTAAAAAGTATCTTCAAAAGATGTTTTTCTGGGTATTAAGAAAACAAAGGAAGTCCTTATTCAACTAGACATTCTGGTTGTTTGTGTCACTTCAAATACTCCTGACTTGGTTGCTTGTTTCAAACACGAAAAACAGTGTAATTTCATTTGAGACTCAAAACGAAAGTATAGTGTCGAATGGGTTTCAGAGTATCTAAAATCGAATGGAGACTTAATACACTGGAAAATAGAGGATAGTCATATATATTTCAATAACTATGTACAATGTACGCCCATAACCATGAGCATACATGTCAGTGATTGTTCTAGACCTGCTCGGGCCGATATTTGGCCTCAAGTCTATAGCAAATCTACCCCAGGGGCAATGAACATTTCTATTGCATGTTAATATAGTATTTGTAATGTTAAGGGTTAGTCGAGGTAGTTACATTTCACAAGAAGGAGAAGCTTTAATGATACATGTTAAGATACAATGTCTATTTACCTGTCAAAAAGAAGATAAGTTTCAAAAATCCCACTATTGAACAAAGTAATACAATTTCCAAATTTGCCTCCCAAGGGCACTTAGTTTGGAAAACTAGATAAATCCATGCATGGAAATCCCAAGTCTACTAAATTCATTGTATGCATTTAGTAGAAGGTAAATGAAGTGACAGGAAAGTCTCTGTTTATCAATCACTTGTATGACAGATTTTGTCGTGACTCACATTTTAGTTCTGTTGCTGCGGCCACCATATGGCTTGAACGGCAGATCCCCAGTGGCCACGTGGTAAAACGTGACCCCGAGACTCCACAGGTCAACTGTAGCATCAAATCTTTGTCCAGTTGGTAGCCGTAGCACAGCTCTTTCATACATGCCAGGGTGCTGAAGGAAACACACACTCGTCACTATCATTACAGAAGTGTCTTCATGTAAATGTACAATAATGTTGTATTGATCACAATTGTTTGCTACAATGATGATTCTATGTTTTGTACAACCTGGGAATCTGGGTAAGACTATTGGTGACCAATTTTATATCCTGGTCATAAGATGTGACCAAATGGATCCTGTGGTCAGGCTCACTGACTTGGTTGATGCATGTCATCGTGTGCCTATTGCGTGGATTGAGGTTCATGATGTCAATCACTGGATTTGCAGGTCCAGGCTTGATAATTTACAGGTCATACAGCTGGAATATTGTTGAGTGCACGTTAAACAAACAAACAAACAAACAAAACAAAATATACTGTGTACCTCTTATGTTTCTTGTAAAGATGACATCAAAAAAGTTTAAAACTTATTGCTATCATCCTGTAAATAATGGAGTCTGGATGAGACAAACCAGTGCATGCGTGCGTGTCCTGACTGATGCCGATTTATAGTGCTTGTGTACTGTGATACCATGCTGCAGTTTAAACATGAATACCCAACTCAGATACAGTATACTGACTCCGAGCCAACCAGTCCTTGTTTTAGCCCCTTATGCCGAGCACCAGACAGGGTAACAACAAGAACCATCTTTTACCATCTTTGGGTATGACACGGACGGGTATCGAACCCCAGACGCTCTACCACTAGACCACGGAAGCGGTCGTAAATAATGAAGTCTGGGTCACACAAACCAGTGGTTGATAGTATGAGCAACGCCCCACAGTACACAGTCACAGTACGCTTATCTTGATTACATGCAACCATCAAATCACTGAGCCTGACCATCTGATTCAATGTATCTCCTCTTGCAACAAGCACAGAGGTCAACCTATTCTACGTACAGGGCTATGATACGTTAAGTAGGAACAAATCACAGTCTTAGCAGCAATTGGTGACATGCAACATAAACTTACGAGGTATTCCTCGGTTCCATAGAGACTTGTGAAATTTTCTTCTTCATGGAGTTCACGAGCTGCCCCAAAGTCTGTCAGCTTGTAGATGGAGCTGAAAACAAGAAATTAAACACTATATTAACATGCTGAAGTGTTAATTAATTGTCAAGTTCACCAAGACTACAGCCTGCACTATATATAATGACTTCATGAAAGACTCACAACTACCACTATGGTATTTATTTGGTTAGTATTTTGTTTGTTGTCGTTTAATGACGAACTCAGCAATATTACAGCTTTAAGACAGCGGTCTGTCAATAATCAAGTCTGGATCAGATAATCCAGTGATTGATATCATGAGCACCGATCTACGCAGTTGGGAATGATGACATGCATCAACCAAGTCAGTGAGCCTGACCACCCGATCCCATTAGTCGCCTCTTACGACAAGCATGGGTTGCTGAAGAGCTGAAGAGCCCGGATCTTCACGGGTCTGGTCAGTATTTAATAAAAGTAAACGTCAAATTGTCCTCGACCACCAAAAGTAGACTGTGCGTGTGAGTGAGTGACTATGGTTTAGACAATGTGATGACGTACTGACATATATTATTCAGTCCTTGTGTTGGTAATTTAGGGCAGTTATGGGGTCAATGAGGCTTGCTTGAACAATAATTGAATCTTAGGACTTAATTTCTCATGTCCTCATGTCCTCCGTTTTGAAGATCCCTACCTGCCCTCTTCAGTAATATGGCGCATAATGTTCCCTGGTTTGAGGTCCCGATGTATGATGCCGCGCTGTCGGAGGTATTCCATACCACTTGCTGAAAAACAACCACAGTACAATGTAGTTTTATGGCGACGTTAAAGTTGCATTAACCTGACTTGATTCTTAACAGTACTGTGCATGTTGGATATTCCCTATCAAGAGCTACATTCCTCTTCCCCAATCACAATTAACCATGGTTGAGATGGCTATTTGTTAATCAATAAATGTTTACTTCTAAAAAAATCTCTGAAACAAAATGACAGTTTACTATACCCAGCAACACTTACACAACTACCAGGAAAGACTGCAACAATTTGAACCAACAGGCCATGAGCTCTTGTCTGTTTGCCAGGTTATCCGACTTCTACTTTTTACATGTCATGTCCAATTTCATTATCCCTTGAAATTCACTAAAGTGAACTTTTTCAGGCATGTAATTTGAAACAATCAATAACAGATTTCATGATTAATTACCTGCTTGGATCATAAATCGATTACTTGGATTACCACTAGTTGTTTGTCTGTTGTTTAACGCCTTAACTCAGCAATATTTCAGCTATATGATGGCGGTCTGTAAATAATTGAGTCTGGACCAGACAATCCAGTGATAAATATCATGAGCATCGATCCACGCAATTGGAATCGATGACGTGCATCAACCAAGTCAGCAAGCCTGACTACCCGATCATGTTAGCCTCCTCTTACAAGCATAGTCGTGTTTTACGGCAAGCATGGGTTGGTGAAGACCTATTCTACCCCAGATCTTCACGGGTCTTATCCAGATGTGTAGGTATGCCCTTACCAACATGTTTGAGAACAAGGAGGTACTCTTCTTCTGGCAATCCATGGACGTACTGTGGCTGATCCAACATGTGATACAAGCTTCCTCCTTCACAGTATTGCATGACAAGCACGACGCGTCTTGAGATGTGCTGCAGGTTACAACATCAGTAGAGAAAAAACACAACATCGGTAGATAGAGATGGGACTTACATTATTGTCACTAGTTGTTTGTTGTTTGTTCGTTGTTTAATGTCCCAGTGAGCAATATTCCAGCTATATCACATTAGCGTGTAAATAATCTAGTCTGGACCAGACAATCCAGTGATTGATAATGTGAGCAACCATCCATGCTGTCGGGGTACCAGGACACTATCAGCTGAGTCAACAGATCCCCTGATACACTTAGTGGCCTGTTACGACCAGCAGTTCCTTAGCTTTTGAATAGTGGTTAATGTCATATTATAGACTGGTTGATTGAATGTTGATCAATGCCGCACTCAGCAATATTCCAGCTCCAGGTCGGCCTGTAGACAACTCTAACAAGTTGTTGAGAGCATGAGCAACGATCAGGGTATGATCAACCAGGTCATGCAGTGTAGTCAACCCTCATATTAGTCGGCTCTTATGACTCTTACGATGTGTGGTGATCAAGTCTGCCCTGTGCGAACATGCATGTCAGCATATAGAACAACTCAATCTGAGGTCACAGATTTGAGTCAGATCTCAGTATACTGGTTTAATGTTGGGACGGAAAAAAACTAAATTGTTGTAGGTCATAGATGTTAACCACTTTGATGAATATCACAAATCGAAATACGGTATTAATAATGGTGAACCTGGGCTGGGACCATAGTTCAACATAATGAATGAGGGTGATGGTTTCTACTGACCTCACGTTTAGCATACAGAATGTTGGTGATGGTTTCTACTGACCTCATGTTTAACAAAAAGAATGTGGGTGATGGTTTCTACTGACCTCGTGTTCAACATACAGAATGTTGGTGATGATTTCTACTGACCTCATGTTGGACATACAGAATGTGGGGATGGTTTCTACTGACCTCATGTTTAACATACAGAACTTTGGGTGATGGTTTCTACTGACCTCATGTTTAAAATACAGAATGTGGGTGATGGTTTCTACTGACCTCATGTTCAACATACAGAATGTTGGTGATGGTTTCTACTGACCTCATGTTGGACATACAGAATGTGGGGATGGTTTCTACTGACCTCATGTTTAACAAAAAGAATGTGGGTGATGGTTTCTACTGACCTCATGTTCAACATACAGAATGTTGGTGATGGTTTCTACTGACCTCATGTTTAACATACAGAATGTTGGTGATGGTTTCTACTGACCTCATGTTTAACATACAGAATGTGGGTGATGGTTTCTACTAGGGCTGCACGGTATTACCGGTATACTGGTAAACCGCAATACGAAATTGAAACGATTACGTATCGCAATACGTTTGTGATGTACCGGTATATTGACAATTATTTTGTGTTTTCAAATTTAACTTGCTTAAAACAACTGATATTGTCGGTCTTTTTACCTACTATGTCATTGTGATGAAACTGCGGGAACAGCTCTTTGATTAACCATTACAAGCTTACGTTACCGTTAACACTGGACCCATATACGTAGATAGACAGGGTAGTAGGTACCTTGCTCGCCACATTGACCGAAGTTGAAATCGGCTGTATCGTTTAAATATGAAAATATATGCATGTCATGTTGACAATACCTCCCTACCCCCCTCCACATACGCCCTGCTAGCCACAAACCTTCATTTCGTGCATTTTATTACACATAACCTTATTTTATCAGGTTATTTTATCGAAATAGTGGCTCAGTCGCGGATGTGGGTCACGGATGTAAATAAGAATCTCCGCACTCAATGGGGGCGAGCCCTCTGATTGGTCAATATCACAATGTGCGTTTCTTGTGGTTGGAGTGCGGACCAATCACAGCAATCGATGCCCTTAAGCGCGGAGACTTCCGTGACAGGCCTGTGGTTGTTACCTCCCTTGATTTGTTTAGACATGGCGGACCGTGACTATGCAGATTTCGAAGTTGTCTGTAACAAACGTGCTAAGGCCGACATCTGGCGACATTTCGGCTTAAAAAAGCTGAAATCTAATGGCAAGTTCGAAGAAAACATCGCGATCTGTCGGCGCTGTAATGTGAGTGTAAAATATGCGGGGGGAACGAGCAATTTGTCCACACACATGCGTAGGCACCATCCACTAATGCTTTCGACCTCGGTGGACAGAAGCCACAAGACTGTCACTGCATACAAAACAACAGTGCCTTCTTCTCCTACCTTTATGCTTGCATCGTCTCAGCCCACAATTTCTCATGTTTTCACAAGCAGCAAAATGTACCCAAATAACTCACACCAAGCCCAGCTGCTAAATGAAAAGGTAGCCAGGTTTATTATCAAAGGACTGCGACCGTACAGTGTTGTGGACTCACCTGAATTTCGAGACCTTATCCAATGTCTTGACCCACGGTATAAATTACCATCGAGGACAACCTTTGCTGAGAGGATTATACCTGATATGTACAAGGACGCGAAACAAAGAGTTGCTGAAAAACTGTCTGAAGCTGAACAGGTATTTTAATTTATTTATAAATTCAAATAAGTCTAATTTAAAAATACCTAAAATAAATAACAACTAATTAATAATTAATAACTTGAAATAATTACTTTTTAATTTAAAATTCATCAACTTGTAAAATATCAGAATACGCACAACTTGTAAAATAAATTAATGTCTATTACCATTTATTGAACATTTACTGTTTGTTAAATTAAAATGTTACAAACTGACAGGTTGCCCTTACTACAGATGGATGGACTTCTTGTGCCACAGACAGTTACCTGACTATCACATCTTGCCACTTAAGTGTTAACTGGGAGATCATCAACTTTGTTCTGCAAACAAGGGTTCTAAATGAAAGTCATACAGGTAAATTGTTAGTTGTTTTATTTAATATCAGAATGCTGGACTTTTTGTTTAATGATTATTGATTCAAAATAGTGAATTAGTAAAACTACTACTGAACTAATTTTAAATTAAAAATGTGAAATATGTGATCATAAGGTGATGGGGGAGTAAATTAAAATTATTGTCATTAATAATAAATGACATATTGACATGTTGAGTTCAACTTTAAATTATGATAATTATTTTGTTTACTATTTTACTTTTCAGCTGAGAATATATCAGAGGTATTGAATGATGCAGTTAAGGAATGGAAGCTTCCTACCACATTTGGTTACCCCCCAGTTACAACTGATAATGCTGCAAACGTAACCAAAGCTATTGCATTGTGTGAATCAGTTCTGCATGTTCCCTGTCTGGCCCATACCATAAACCTAGCTGTACAAAAATCACTGAAAGTCAAGAGAGTGTCCCATGTCCTGGCGAAGATCCGCCGCATAGTTGCGTTCTTCCACAGAAGTCCAAAGGCAAGTGCAATGTTGAAGGACAAAGCCCTTCTCCTGTCACTACCTGGCCATGATCTTATAATTGATGTTGTGACCCGCTGGAATAGCGCCTATGACATGATGACAAGATTCCTAGAAATGCAGTGTGCTGTTCTTACAGTGCTGATGGACAAAGTAGTGTCCAAATGCAAAGGTGATTTGGCCACATTGTCAGATGAAGAAACTCGTCTGACAGAGGATGTGATACAGTTCTTGAAGCCAATGAAGGACATGACCACAATGCTGTGTACAGAGAATTCCCCTACTGTGTCAATCATCATGCCATTGAAACATCATCTGATGAATGTTGCCCTCACTCCTAAAGATGACGACAGTCCCACAGTTGCTGAAATGAAACGCATAATGGCTTCAGATATTGAACCAAGGTATGTAAAACAAGCAGAAATGCTGTGTGTGGCCTCAGCTGTTGATCCAAGATTTAAACATCTTCCTTTCCTCTCAGCTGAAGAGAAGTATGATGTTTTTGGAAATATCACTGCACAAACAGCCAAAATAACAGAGAAAAACAAGCCTGTCATCAAAACTGAACCTGATACAAACCAAGATCCACCCTTGCCACATTTGCCAGAAGGACCACTGAAAACAGAGTTTGAGAATACTTCTGCTCCTACTTACGACAGTCATAGACAAGAACCAAGTCAATCACCCTGTGATTCACCCATTGACTGCACCAACTCCACCAAGCCTTCCACACTCCTTGAAGGGTTGCTTGGAGATGTTTTCATTGTAAAGTCAGAGCCAGCCAAGTCCGCATTTGAGCTGGCTAAGCTTGATGTGGACCGGTACTGCTGTGAGCCAGGTATCGCACTGGGTGATAGCAGCCTTTCCTGGTGGAAGACCAAAGAAGACAAGTATCCTCGTCTGGCACAGCTGGCAAAGATGATGCTTTGTATACCAGCAACAAGTGTTCCCTCAGAGAGGGCTTTTTCCACGGCCGGGGACATTGTATCTCACCAAAGAGCATCAATGAAACCTGAAAATGTTGACATTCTCCTCTTTCTAAAAAAAAATCTGAAATAGGTATCAATGTGACTGAAGGTGTGAACTTTCACACTTTGACAATCAATCAAAATCCGTTCCTTGTTGATCGTTCAAAATAATGTTTATTGGAGTTATGTGATCTCATTGATCTGATGCTTTTGCTCAGCAAATTGTGTTTCTGTTGAAACTTTTATCGTTGAACTTTTATCAGTGGTGTTCTAGACTCGGTGATATTATGGGTGTGTATGGCATGTTTAAGTTCAGGAAGACATGCTGGAAGTGTGATCATGTAACACAGTCAGTAAGCATGGTAAGTCAAACATAAGACTAGTCACTTATTGATTGTTTTTCAATTTCTGAATTTCATATGCATTTGCTATTTGAGATTTTTGCTCATTTCAATAGCAACAGTATAGAGATTTCCCCTTTCTCTATATTGAATAAAGCTAAACATTGTTTGTTTGACTTTTGATTGTTCTGTGATTCAATTTGGAGGGAAAAGAATCTTAAGCAGTGGACAGAACTCAATAAGTTTTCTTCCACAATATATTGCAGTACGTATTGCAGTACAGAGGACTGTATCGCAATATATTGCAATACGCAATTTGGGGCAATACACAGCCCTAAGAGAAACTGACCTCATGTTTAACATACAGAATGTGGGGATGGTTTCTACTGACCTCACGTTCGATGTACAGAATGTTGGTGATGGTTTCTACTGACCTCATGTTTAACATACAGAATGTTGGTGATGGTTTCTACTGACCTCATGTTCGACGTAGAGCAGGGGGATGATGTTTTCGTGCTTGAGTCTTCGGAGTAGATCCAGCTCTCCCGCCACCATTGAAACATGCTCATGAAAAACTTTAACAGCCACCACACTGCCATTCAACTGAAAAATACAGATCAACTGAAACTATAAAAGAAGGTACCATGCTGTTGAATAAACAATTATATTCCAAGAGATACACTGCCTTAAAGCAACTACCATTATCAAAATATTACAAGAGAAAAGAATGACAACTGTCAGCTGACATTTACATCATGTATATCACCTGTCATTATCTTCAGCTTGCAACATGAACTACTGAATGGCACTACTACTTCTACTACTACTACTGGTTTATTTCACAATAAAACATTGTTTTATCATGTCGTCATTTCTGGATTTGACAACATTATTTTTGAGAGGGAAGTGTCTAGTGAGTTGTACCCCACTGATTTTGCTTGTCAACACAAATGCAGTGGTCGAATGATTACATCCAAAAGTGAAGAGTAATGACAATTGGTATTGGGAGAATAGGTACAGGTAATTGACGTGAGAATATACCAAACCCACCTGTTCATAAAATAGACTTGTCCGACATTGTCTAGGTCGGATTCAATTCAGGGAGTCATCATTATTAAAATACGGGTAAACATTCTGAAAACTATTACATTTTATCATCATCCTTAAAGAGGCTGTACATTATGTTGATATCTCCCATAACAAATAAACGACTCTTGGTTGTTTTTTATCATACATGCCACTCATGGTAGATTCTCCCTGCAGTGTTTAATTGTATGATAAACTCCCACGTGTAGTTAATTTCTTAAACATATTGATTTATATGGGGGAAAAAGATGGGTCTTTCAGTATTCCTGTTTACCGGTAATTATCAGTTTTTTTAACCAATAAAATTAGGTTTTGATCGGTAATTCTTGTGGGTGGGTGGATGGTTTATTGAATCAAATTAAACATGTTTCACAGGCAGATATAAATAATACAGATGCATCATTGTTCCCACTGATGTATTCCCACAATGCACTTTGTGTGTATTCTACATTCTATGATATAACATTTAGATGCTTGGACAATAAATGGTTAGCCAGATCATATCAACTCAGTGAGTGAGTGAGTGAGTGAGTGAGTGAGTGAGTATGGTTTTACGCCGCTTTTAGCAATATTCCAGCAATATCATGGCAGGGGACACCAGAAATGGGCTTCACACATTGCACCCATGTAGAATCGACCCCATGTCTTTGGTGTGACGAGCGAATGCTTTAACCACTAGGCTACCCGACCGCTCCTCATGTCAACTCATATCATTAGACAAAGTGTATCACAACTACTTATGTATCAATGTAGCATCCCTACTGGTGAAACTGCATCCTCAGTTTTGTAGTCTGAGACATAATAAGATCATATTGATAATTGATTGCATCATCACTCTCAATCTACAATGATCTAATGTATAGTGTTATCAATAAAAGTCAAATGTTTGCCCCAATAGAATCATTGTCTTAAAACTTAAAAGATAAGAATAAAAGTATTGTTTGAAAAAAAAAGGTTTTCTGTTGGACCTACACGAAGAAGATCTGAGTGTTCCTTAGCAATCTCCTTCACACGTAAGGGGAAAAGCTAGTTGCAGTCACCACTGACCTTCCCAACAGTACTATAAATATCTCATATTTGAGGTATGAGCCGGACTACTGATGTCACTGTAACCTGTACTATTTTAAGACTATTCAAGTTACTAATTTATTCAAAGCCAAGGCTAAAATGATAAAGACCAAATGGGAATATAGAATAAACATAAATGCATTCAAAACATACCTTAACATGTGAATCACACTAGAAACAATACTGATAGGTCTGAAGAAAGCTACTAGTGTGACAAGCATGACAATTCAACACGACATAGATCACGTGACATCCGGCACAGACATCCCAAAGGGGGCAGCCATGTTTACAAACAAACCAACACGACAAAAAGAAAGCAGAATATCTTCACACTATCTTCTCTGATGCAACTGTTCAGTTCAACTTAGAAAGACACTTGAATCTGCCACCGTAAATGATTTAGTGCCTCAGCACGCTGCTACTGTACTTTGCATTCTTTGCAGAGATGTAGGTTACAACTAAATCGACCAAGCTGCATTTCACACGTAAGATGATTTTTCATTCCTTCATTGCCTTCAAGCGTGTTGAAGGACATCTAATGACTTACCGTAGATCAATACTATTTGATCTATCTTCTTGTTTCAATGAGGAGTCAGAGCTCCAGATAACTTTTTGAGCAATAGAGTTTTTACTCTAGGGTTTCTATGCTAATTGGGTCATTACATTTTTCATTGGGTAACCAACATTTTTAGATTTTGAAAAAATGAAAGAATGTTTAAGATGTATGTAACTGTTCTAAATATATAGGCTTGACTCAGAAAGTAAATGATCTCGTAATTCTGTGTCGGAGATAAGCTCCTTTGTACCCTTGCTGAAAAAGCTTCATTGGGTATTTATGCGAGCTGTTTTTATACATTTGAGTTTTTCATTTAATGCATGCGCTTCTGTACGCAAGTTAATTGAAAGTAATTGGGTTTTGAATATTTTTTGGGTATTTTAAGCAAATACACTGCTTATCTATGGCTCTGGAGTTATCTTCGAGAAGTTTTTAACGCTAATATTGAGCTTTGATGTGAACATTCTGAACGGTATCAAAGTGGCTAAGGAAAGATAAAAACGTTTAAATTGTTTACAAGTTTTTTGCAAGGAATTTATCAAAACATCATTTCGAACTTTTTACAAATTTAACTTTTCTCCCAAAACATTTTTTCATTCAGAAATTTATCAATATATTGAAGCAAAGGTTTTGTGTAAACTCAACACTTGAAGGCTAATTTCAGCATTTAATGATAAAAGAATCACACTTCTTATCTTCAATACAGCTTAATAAGGTATTAAGATGTAAAAAAACTAATTTAGCTTTCTGCTGTTGAAATATGTAAATATATGGATGACTTCAAACAAGCATTTAAAGGTATAAACCTGTATAGACTATTGAGGAATCTGTTTGTTTTCGACTTAAATCAATATAGTTAAATTTCTGTTTCAGAAAAGGAGCTGATAAAATGATTGATTGGATTACGTTACTCAAGAAAAGCTTCAATTTGTGAGTAATTTTATTTGATTTACAGTAATTCCTTTTGCCTTCATTATGTTTGTAACCATAGCAAAATATGTATTTCACCATAACTGAGACACTATTATTATGACTATGTTGAACTATGGACCCTGTAATAAAGGCCATGGTTGAACTGAGTTTTATAAAGGGTATGCATGTTGAAATAGTCTGAACTATGTGTAACTTCATATTGTTCATGAATTCTTGTTCTCAAAATATACTGTAAAAACCTATATGTTTACTGTTTTAAGACTATCATTTTCAGAAGCAGAACACTTTAACCATATTTTTATGTCATTGACTTAAATGACTGAATTGGTTGAGATATGAGTTGAGGTTTTCCATGTTTGTATTCAATTAACAAAACCTTGCAAAGTTCATGTTTTGTATACACATGTTTGTGAATTCTGGTTATTTTCAAACTTAGAATTCAGAGTTGTTCTACGTCTTATGTTGATACAGGTGAAACCCAATCAGCATACAAAGCAAAAACTTTGCAATTTGCAATTACCATGATTATGCTCCCCCTTGCCTTATAATTTCGGATCATTAGTTTTGATGAAACATGTGTAGCATATTTCATCATCATGATAATGACTGACTTTGAAAGTAATACTAAAAGGGACAGTTCACTCGACACGTAACGGAAGTCTTTAAACTCATGTCCTCCAATACCACATGCTTACTATTGATAGCAAGGCCACATAACATGGTTACAACTTGACTATCAGTTTAGTCCCGGAACTACAATGTCAGACCTAAAGATAGAACATGACATATGACAAAGACGCACAGGACTGACGTGAAGCTATTAATAGACTCCCAGCATGCAACACCAACATGCCACCTTGCCGAGGACCGTGGTGTGAACTGTAACTGTAAGTGATCTGAAAATGGCATTCAATGTTTTGCATCAATGAAATCTGCTGCACAATGGTTTTGTGTCAACATTTGACTGCACTCATAATATAGTAATGATTTCCTCCGACAAATGTCACACAAGAAATGCACACTACCATGCTTATCCTGCATAATGGAAGCACTTGAGAACGTTGAGACATTAGCCATATTTGGAAATCTAAGCTATACTATTTCCCATGTTTTTAACATTGACCTTATTCAGTATATATTGTCATTTACTCTATACAGCAAATGATTGATTAAGTTAGTATGATCCAAAAATGTTGAAATGTGTTTTTCTCCATAATCCAAACCTACGCTTTGGACGTTTCGATTCTTGTTCAGTAATACATATTATAATGGAAAACCCCCACCCCTAATAGGTAAGTGCGAAGTAGGAAAACCCAAGCATTACTGTTTATTGATCCCACACCACTGAACTACATGCAGTCACTTGACAGCCTGTCAGACTCAGATTGTCTGTCTTTGTTACATGTAACTCAGTTACTAGACAACAAACAAGTCAACAGGTGATACAAGACCACTCCTACCACTTAAAACACTTTATGGCTTTCTTCAAGCACAAAGTGTACACAACATTCTTAAATCACATTAACCATGTTAACAGGATCAATGTATGTAGGAGTTGGATCACATTACATGCAGGCGTTTCGAAGGGAGGATTGGGGTGAAACACACATAGCTTGGGGGTGGTGAGGGAAAGCATGGAGAGAGTCCAGTCCCTTTGTCCCATATGGATTAGGGTCAGGACGAGTCCAAATTTACTACCCGGCTACCCACACCCCATAACCTGACCCCTCCCCGGGTACCCTCTGTAGGTATCAAGAGATAGGTATAAAATGTCTGATTGGGAATTTCTTTACCATAGTCCTGGCAAAACGCATTTAGATACATGTATTAAACACTCTGGTCATGCATACACTGAAGTTGACTTAAGTTATATCTTTATTCAACCACATGAAAAGTCAGTAAGAATGGGTGCATAGTCAGAAAGAAATGTGAATATTAGTGACTTGTAGTGTAACTACTGAGCTGTAGAGAGTTTTTGTCATTAAACAATATATCACGTGACTAACCACGGGTCTGGGTAGTCCTGTGGTTAACCGGGTTCTACTCAGTACCCACCCAACCCGGGTACCCGAGTTACCTGTCCCAGCCCTAATATGGCTATAAGATCATATTGATTCTAAATTTGGTTTCGCAGCAAATACTCACTATATTTGTAAATATTGGCCAGTGGGTGGATGGGGTGAGCAAATCAGGGTCTGCCATGTAAGCAATAGGGTCCATGTTGATATTGGATGACTAGAGTTCAGAAAGTTCCGATAGTTTGTTAAACATGCAACATGTGCTCCCTTCAGTACATTTCATAGACAAATTTCTTGTCTGCGAGTAGGTCTGTGTGCTCTAATGACATATTAACAGTCAATCTGCATTAAAACGAACTCAAGTAGTCATGGTTCAAAGAATGCATCATAAAATTTACCAAAAATACAGTTTTACTTGTAAAACAAATAGTAAATCAACTCATATTTTACAATTGTTCTCTAACTGCTTAGGTCGAAACTGAAGTTGTGTTATTTCATAACCATTATTCATGGAATGTCCTTGCATGTTGAAATTTGAGAGATGGGGTACCTAAGTGTACAAGTTTAAAATAATGTAAGAAAAGGGGAGGAAATTGACAAAGAAACTTTTGTTTCATCACAAGCAAGTTTCTTTCAAGTTTAGTACTACATGTACTGAATTCAATTTTATTCATCATTTGGTTCATACTGTAAGTGAGTCTTCATAGAAAAATGTGGATTTGCCTCATAGTTAAATAAGTCCATAAACTATGATATAAATTGTAACACATACAGACAATCTTTTTTGGTGTCAAACTACAGAGTGAAAAGCTTCAAATAAACACATTATCAAGAGAAATTCTTCACAGCAGACCCGCAAATGAATTAGTGAATGGGTTTGTTTGGATTAAAAAAATGCTGGAAAAATATTATACTTTACATGGGCTTTACCCCATGAATAATTCTGATTCACAGTCCAAGATCTGTCAACAAGTCTCTTGGCTCCCCACTGCTTCGTGTCACAACAGATTGTGTAGGGAGCTATTGCCAGTATGTGCCTAGCTATATCAACCCAGCAGACAGTGCTCTACTCATAGCTGAAATGAAAGAACACTGACTTGGACTAGATTTCACCGTGCTTTAATGTTCTTTCATTACAAAACCAGGATGTTGAATCATTTATCTTATTAAGGCCACCCACCAACATATCAATATGTTTGCTGTGCGGATTACTTCTGAGGGCGGATATCGTGACTAGTTGAGTAGGATACCATCAATGGATTCATGTGGGCATGGTCATCTGCGTCACTGTTAGGTATATTAATATCCTAACAAAGACTAAGGTGGGTGGACTAACAATAGTGGGTGGTCTTGAAATAGATTCATCACATTTCTTTCTCTCCATGTCAAAAGTTGCACTGGGTGAATGTATCAACTCAAAAATGTCCCTTCAATGGTTTCAAGGGCAAACAGCTTGGCATCAGCCATGTACATCGCAAAACAGAATCCATCAGCACTGGAGTGAAGATTAAATGATTTTCACATGAATTTCAGTGTTATTTAATATTTTGAATAAAATCTAATTGTGAAGCCAAATTCATAATGCTTTTATTCCTTAATGAACCCATGTCACTATGCTACCGAGAATTTCCATTACTTGCCATGTCTAAAACTGAAGTGTCACAAGGTGTCATGGTGGGCCAGATTTTTCATTCAGGGGTGTATGACAAGAAACTATCTAAACTATTTTTGTTACAATGGTAACTATCACCTGATCACCAGGTACTTGTCATTTTTTTCAAAATAAAATTAGTATCATGATACATTTGTCATCATTGAAATGACAATCATCATGCTTATCAAATTGTAAACTATTGTTAACAATAAAATAACCCCCATAATTTTCATGTTTATGGCTCCTAAGTCATTATTGTACAACATACTCCTAAACCTTATATCTTCAGGTGAACCTTCTATCTTTTATCAATCCTACCCACCCTATATCATGTATCATAACACAAACGACAATATGATGTATTTCTTTAAGAGAGATGCTAAGGAATCTTCACACCAGTTTGTAAACCATAAACAAACAAAACTGGCCATAACAGAGTCAGATCTTTCAGAGCATTGTTGATTTTAATGTCCATACAGAGACCTAACTGAAGAAAGATGTTAAGAACCTCGAAAATACCCTTGAAGTAGAGGTAGAGAACACACAGCCGTCACGATTTCCAAAAATACATGATGCAAAGAAAGTCAGTCATGCATTGCAAGTATGACTCCAATCACTGATGTACTGTGATCCATATACAGGAAGTAACATGACCCTTTGTAAAAGATGCAGCAGACTAAGGTTCAGCTATTGGCAAGCAAAACCATCACACACATAAAACAAAGTATGAATGTAATAAGGTAATGACATGTATACACGGCATAAGCTCCATAAATATATTTTCAAAAACATGGCAGGTGTTATCTTCATAATGCATCATTCCTTATCCTTCTTAGTACTTTGTATTGTAACAAACTGAACTGAATTTCATTAAAAGCATGGGATTTGGGTCTCTGTAATTTTATGTAAATGACATGACCAAATATGGCTGTCTGTACATAAGTTTTTTTTAGCCCTGACATCACAGGTGCCTTGAAGTCGGTGTATGCAACGTATTTGTGTCAGTATGTACTTTCACATGCTTGCATACAACATAACCAGTATCTTCCCGAGGCAAGAGAGATAACTGACTATGAAAGTCCAGTTTCAACCCTTGCCGAACTAGGCTGGTATTATGGAGTTAATTTTGGCTGGACTAACGAGTCTATGCATGGTCCAATGAAAATTGCGCACCGAAATCGAAATCCGGTTAGTAAACTGTCGTGCAGATTTTGGTCGCTAGCAGGATTTGCAAAGCATGTGCACTGTCAACTCGTTGTCAACAGATATTTTCCAAGTCTTTTCACGTTTTTAATCAAGGTGCTCACTTGATTTGATGCACTTCGCGAGGTAAGACCTGAGTTATCACAATATAGATCTTGATTATCGATCAGATCGTCTTGACTGGGCACCGCCATTTTGTGTGAAACAAATGCAAGTGATACGAGAGGTGGAATCTGATTGGTCCATGGGAGAGGCTTATAAGGGACATAACTCATAATAACCACTGGTGGCGCTACGATCCAGCCCAGGAATTCCAGCCTAGTTCGGCAAGGGTGGAAACTGTACTTTTAAAGTCAGTTAACTCTCTTGCCTCGGGAAGATGCAGGACCAGCAAGGTAAGTGCAGATTATTTTACCTATCAAATTTTTTGGGTTTCATGTATTTCCTTGGTAATATTATGCACTGAGAACTGAATATTTATTTAGCAAGGCTTCATGCATGGACAAAAAAAAGTTTTGAAAGTATATCAATTTAACCTGGATATTTCTTACGTTTTCTTGTAATTAGTCACATAGAGAAAGACATTTCAAATATTGTTGTATAACCAGGATGTAAGTATGCAAAGTTGACAAACTGTTTATGCGATTAATAGTGACCTCAATGCTGTTAGATTACTTAGAATGATATACATTATACATTATACATTTAACTGCCGCACAGAATCCTAAAGGTCAAGTATGCATGGTCACTGAAATGTTTTGTTTTGTATGTAGTTAGCATGGTTAGCTGTTTGTGCTCATACTCATAGTGAACTGCATAAGTTACCACTGAAAGAGTTTTAACAAAGCTGTTTAACTCAGTCCAAATTTAGTTAAGATTGCTTGATCAAAAGACTGCACGTTTATTGCTTTATTTAACACTGTATAATTCAACATACTAATCAAGTGAGTGCAACAGACATGTTCAAGAACAACTCATTATGCTGTTTGGTAAAAAAAACAACATTTGCAACACTGCATGGTTAGCACATCATTAAAATTTGCTATTTGCAGAAAATTCCTACTGCTGGTAACCATTTTGAGCACAAAGAATATGTTTTTCCTGCAAAATCAGTTACCCCCTATTTTATTCTTCATTTCGATATTTTGACTTAGGCTTCATTTGTCTCTTTTCCTTGCTTTGTCAAGAAAATAGTTCCCAAGACAGGAGGCAATGTGTGAAATTCTTTTCAAGATAAAGAGTAATTTTTCTTTTGCGATTTACAGTGTTACTAGTGGTAATCAAGAGAAGTTATAACTTTCACGGGGCGTACATGACAAAACAGTTATTGTTTATGTACTTAGGTGGGCTGAGGTGTATATGGGTTTAAAACTTGTGTAAAGATTATTTAAGTTATATAGCAATGTTCGTGTGTGTGTCTCCCCCCTTCATGCAGACACCAGGCAAATACCACATCTTTTGGTATGGCTAGGCTGGGGATCTAAGCACCAGTCTTCCACTTTCCGAGCAGACTGTTAACACTGTTAGAAATTGGCACTAGTCCTGTAGTCCTTACCAAACTGCCCAATGGTAAAGGTATCCTAAGGACTAGTAGAAATTGGCCAATTTTAAGGGTTCTGCTATATGTTATCATTATGAGGACTTGTGGACAAAAACTGTTAGTTTCTAACCCTGGTTACTATCGTTAGAAAGGCAAGGATTATTATTTCTATTATTATAAAGATGAAAAGATCATAACCTTTTCGCGGCCAAGGTAGACAACAGCTGTGGCACCCCTTCCAAGGCTATCGGCAGTGTTCCACGTCACACGGTCAGAATTTTGAAGTTGTCCTTTTTGCACGGGAAAGTTTGGGACCGACATGGACTATTTTATACATTGAGAAGATTTTAACCGTTCACTTCTCTCCCAACCTGAAACAAAAAAATAGAATATTTAAAAAAGGAACTAAAAAATAGCTTTCAACATGACTGATGTTTTCCCAGAAAAAAGATAATGAGTGACCTTGACCTACATGCCAGGCAAATTACATTAAAATACTTAGGGTTACTAAATCTGACAAGTACGGAATGCAAGTGGCAGACAAAATTGAATATTCAACAATGACAAAATTAAAGTTAGCTAAATATTGTTAATAAAGCAAAATTAACTAACAATTCTGGAAAGATTGATTATTTCTTTGTTGTTTGATGCAACTCTCAGCAAAATTCAAGCTACATGACAGCATTCTGTAAATAATTAAGTATGAACCAGACAATCTAGTGACTGACATCATGGTTACTGATCACGCATTCAACTAAGCCAGCCAAGAATGCCCAAGATTAAGTTCTGGAAAGAATGAGTGAGTGAGTGAGTATGGTTTCATGACGCTTTTAGCAATATTCCAATGACACGGCGGGGGACACCAGAAATGGGCTTCACACATTTTACCCATGGCGGGAATCGGACCCGGGTCTTTGGCGTGACGAGTAAACGCTTTAACCAGGCTACCCAACTGCCCCAGTTCTGGAAAGACAGTTGTACTTAATTCTATGACAATCAAACTGGTATAACCAGGGTATTTTGGAAAAAGGTTTTAATGTTAACTTAATGTGTCGGTTATGAAATTCTATAAAATTCTAGGTTAAAATATGAAATGGACTAGGAGGAGGCCTCGACCTACGAGGTCCAAAGGTTATTGATTCTATTTCTCTTGGTGATAACTTACAATAAGTTAAAGGGAATTAGCTTGATCTGGTCTTGAAATATAGTACAAGAGAGCAAATGAAAAGATGTTATAGATCACCAGTCTTGAAGTGACTAAATATTGTATGAATCATTGCTTGATTGGAATCTGATTCAGGATCTCTTGGTAAATTGGTAAATACCATTTTGACATAGTATCTGGCTTTCATCCTAGGTTCATGAACTACATATGTTCGATTGACTGATGAATTTAGACAGTTAACTGAGTTATTTTAGACAAGAAGAGTTTGATAGCACAAACTGAATCTGCCACTTGGTGATTGGAAATTTGCTTCTATTGAAATAAGCTTATGAGTCATTTCGGTATGACGTTAAACATTATTTCGGTGGGAGGAGCTACAATTAACATCGATAGTATTTTGTTACTTGTCTGGGAGTGGTGCGGGGATTCGGAAACTCACAGCTGAACAGAGAGGTTTCTGTATATTGGAAGTCCGGATCAGAAAAAGTATTAGAGTTAAGAGTTGATCAGAAATACTATCAGGCTCTTCGATGCATTCTTCAGGTATGTGTTGTATTGAAGTCAGGCCACAAGAAACTATCTGAGGACAGTGTGTGTATATTTATGATAACTTCCATCATAAATAAATCGACTTGAGCAAACAAGCTGACTTGTGATTTTGAGAGCTACATCATCCCAGGAACCAAGTAGTGCTAGATAGGTACAAGTGACCTAGGTAGAAGGGTATAGTACCTGACTCCAAACGTTACACTGGAGTGTGAGTGAGTGAGTTGGGTTTAACGCCGCTTTTAACATTATTCCAGTTATATCATGGCGTGTCAGCTTAATGTGGTAGGAAAGCCCGAAGTGATGCAGGTCTAAGACGTTTACCACTTCGGTGAAACCCATGAGCACGGGTATGGTGCTGACAAACCTAGAAAAATAATTGGGGCGAACCGAGATTCGAACCCACAATCATAGGTTTCTGGCGTGCCCAAGGGACGCAACTCTGCACATCGAATCGTGGCGCCTTAGGCGCCGTTACACTGGAATGGTACTCATAATGATGGTGATTCCCAGGAAACTCAAGATGCTAAAGGCGTAAACCACAACACTCCTTCTTACTGTAGTCAATCTAAGCTATTATGTAACTCACTGCCACTCACATAACCCCTGACAACAGTGTAAGGTTAATACAATGTATTTCTGTTGGGTTTTTTCTATACATGTACTTCTGTTAGAAGGTTGACAGTAAAACTTGACACCAGTCATCACCACACACATAAAGTACTGGGAAAGTTAATGTGACATTATTCCATAACTGTTACTTGTTAACCTGGATATTTGTTAATCAGGACAATGTCTGGAGTAACAAGGTTTCACTTTACTCATGATAATATATGATCACATTAGATTTTCTCTCATGAACCCCTCAGAGCTTTAAGGTGTGGTGCTAGTGATGATACTGATGGCACCATCAACATAATCAAAGTGGCTAGAATGTTAAAAGTTAAAATGAAACAAAATATAACACAGCTATTAAATACAACTTTTCTCAATGTGATAAAATAGTTTACTCTTGCAGTCTCACCTATGTGTATATGATTGTTAATAAAACAAATCTGATTAGAATGAAATTTCTACCGTAAACTAAAATAATTTCTACTTACATAATCATGGTATCGTAAATCTGACATTATTTTGTAAATGTAGGATATAGCACCAACGGTTTCTTCCATCCGTCTGTGGTTACGGTGGTCATAGGCAACGTCAAACAATACACTGTTCTGCGCAACTGATTAATTCACCACACCCAGAACTCATGGATTACTCACTGGAAAGTGACAACACCCACTAGCCTGTATATATAATAACTTCATGGTTACTGAGAGAGGACACCCTCCACCCACCCACACACACACACACACACACACACACACACAAACATACACACACACCCCGCCTTGATTTCAGGGAGAGACTTGCACCCATTTCCCCTCCAAAAGTTATAGGCCTATATGTATGCATTGCCACTCAAACCTCTTAATTATCTATAATTTTTTATTTTTTGGGGTGGGTGGGGATATGGGCGGAAGTCTTACCATGAAAACGTCGCCATTTTCAGAGTGTCAGATCGACTTCTGGTCAAGACCAAAATAAAACATAACGTGCTGCTATGGATAATTGACATACTGATATTGCAGATTATTCAATATTGTAGGAACGTAATGTTCTTTCGGTATCTCTCACAATATTATAAGGTGACCTTTCCTACTAAAAATGAACCCTCCTCATCTTCCAAATAGAACATCTCTTCGCAGCGACACTCATAAGCTGGGCCCCGTCTCCAATATAACAATATAGGAGCCGGTACAGACCAATGAGACGATGGCTGTGAGCGCCTTCGAAATATTAAACATACACTATGTTTTGTAATTTTTCATTGGTCGCTATTTTTAGACGAAGCGCTACCCTTCTACAAACATGACAAAAGCCTCCACTGAGAAACGTCACCGGGCTAGGTTAAAACAAGAATTGCAGTTAGATCCGCTATCTGTCATAGATCTCCTAAAGCCAAGAGATGCAATAGCGAAGGCCAAACTAACTCTATTTCTGAGAGATGGACAGCTGCTCGAACGTATATAAACAGAGCAGCCAAGGATAAAAATGAAATCATATCGATATAAGAAAATAGAAATCATATCAATGCAAAAACAGAAATTATGTGAACACCGAACTCACAATAGATATGTGAACCCTTCTCACACACAGGAGTCCCAAAGAGGGACAGGTCAGCCGAAATTGCCTAGGCAGAAGGCGACCTCTTAAAGGGGAAGTGTACACGCAAAAATCACTTTCTTTCTTTTTCTAAACAAAACGCAATTTTAGAATTAATTAGTATCTGTGTTTGAAAATATACACTCATTTTTTTCACAGTGAAAGTAGGAAGCTCACAATAGTGTGAAAATGATATGCCGTTATGAGGCCTTCGTTTTTCGAGCTAAACAGGCCTGAGTTATCCCCCTTAGATTATGACGTAATTGGTGCCAATTCAACTGGGTCCCTGTCTATTCTCAACGCAAAAGATATCAAGTACCAGTTTTCGGTAAAACAACATGGCCTACGACACACTCCGGCGCAGTGGTGACTCAGCATAACACTATGCTGGCTGGCATCTGAGACGCTAGAATCACACACCTAGACCTACACCACGTGAAGCGGCTCTAACAAAGCATGATGACGTCATAATGTTTATCAATTGGCACCAATGACGTCATATTGCAAGGGGCATAAGCCATGGTGTTTTTGTTGTGGAAATAGAACACTTGGTAAATGTGAAAAATATAAATCGTTTTAATGCGAAAAATATGTTAATTAATTGTGATATTTTTATATTTTTGTCTATGACACTTTTAGGTTAACACTTTTAATGTGGAAAAAGTACAAGAAAAAAAGGTTAATTTCCGTGTGAACTTGCCCTTAAACACCTAATGCAACAACAACAACAACAACGTCACAAACTACTTTAAGTCATTTTGTTAGATGTGCCACCATCTGGTGCAGGAAAGACCTTCAAACTTTAAATTGTAATTAACTGTAGGAAATTAAATTTCCAAAATTATTTTCTTCATATATTTTACGTACATGATATCAATATGTAAGAGAAATGATAGTAAACATAGTCTAGCGTATTCTTTGCATGAACATTTCGCAGGTTTTCGAATACACCCCAAAATTGTGCTATGCGAGAAAAATATTTATTATACACTTGTCAGAAAACTTTGAGCGAATAAAATATTCTCAGGTATTTGAACGAGATACGCATGTAGGAAGTTTATATATGTCGACATATGTGGAGCCACCCATACAGTATAAATGTCGCATTGAAAATATTCTTTGTCTTTCCATGACGTCGAAAAAGTTTATTTTTAAGTTAAAGAATAACTCGTAATAAATATGATGTGACGATTCTGACAAAATAGAAATGTGTATGTCCCTCCCTCCCCTTTTCGGCATTAGCGTAGGCATTTTTGAAAATCACCGGATGTGACGTCAAAGAAACACGCTGAGTGTTTTTTATTTTGGCCTGTACCGGCTCCTAGCTTGGCGCAAGTTGACGACGCGCATAGGGAGCCGGGAACCAGCTTACGACACTCAAGCCATCAAACTGCGTAGCACGAATTTCACACACTGCACGGAGCATTCCACTCAACATAACTGGGATCC